ATAAGAGAGTGTTTCAAGAAGGAGCATGCCTGATCTTGAACAGAAATGCTTGAACTATCTCCTAAGCAAAATAATATTGCTCCTATCATAACAATTTGAATTCTATAGGTAGTGAAAGGCAATCAAGGAATTGATTCACTTTAAACAGATAATCATAATATTGATTCTCCATCAGCTGGCTAATCATTATTTTGATTCACAGGTAATGTTAACAGATAGGCAACAATGAATTGCAAGAATACAGCATTTATCTTGCTATTATTCTCATTTAGTGGTATCCTCAGCACCACAACTGATACCTATAGCATTGTTGTACTTTACCTTCACTACATTTGATAACAATTCACAATTTTTAAATGTCAAGAATACAAAAACTGAAGCAACAGGTAAAAACCATATAAATAATATGAAAGCACTACAACAATGATAATTAGGGGTTTGAAAATTTCATTTTGCCATTTTACACAAATACTGATTGGTTAGTATGTGATTCATGGTACAAAAATAACATACAGTGTGATTTCCTCAAAACAGCTTTTACGTGATGGACAGTGGCTCTGTGTTTTTCCCATTCACAAGGCCAAAGGGACAATTTCTTAGCTTTGAGGTAACACTTTTTGCAAACCTACCACATTTTTCTACCTTTTAAAAGAAAAATCTCACCGTCATGGGCCTTTTTTCAACCGTAACGATTCATTTGAAGTCAAAAGTGTACCCAAATGAATCAAAATATTGATTCCATGCCCATATTTGGTCATGGCTCCTCCCACCAGAATCAAATTATTGATGCCTCCATATTTTGATTCCAAAAGTCTAGTTTGCCCAACTGAGCTAACCCACTTTTAGGTACTGATCTGAATCACAGGTACCTACGTTATAGGTAATTAGGTACCCATAGAAACTGGGCCAAAATCATTACAGCATTGAATACCATATTGCTTCATGATTAAAAAAGCAGTTTTAACCAACCAGAAACCTAATGCATCAAATGGCTTTAAATTTGTTTGCTTTTAAAAAGCCCACATGTCCATGTGAAAGAGCAATATTGATTGAGACACAAGCAATTTAATGAATTTAAGAAAAGCAGAGCCAGATATAATGCATGAATAAATAAAAACATGCCCGAGGTAGTATAACAAGCATTTCAGTAGGCGGAACTATGGTCATGAGTACCCAAATATAGGAACGTTCCCATTTTTGGGAACGGAGTTCCCAAATATGGGAACGGGCGTTCCCATTTATGAGAACGGAAGGCAATTTTTCGGCCGTTCGCCCACTAAAACTCAAAAGTGCATCACGTCTCAAAAAAGTGCACGCTGATTTAAGTATCTACTAAATTTCCATAAAGTTATCTTTAATCTGACCGTGGAACAAGGAAATTGACCGTGGAATGATATTTTTAATGATTTTTTAAAAATGACAGAATGGTGGAAATATGGGTTATACGACATTTAACATGCAATTTTAAGGAAAATGAAGCATTTTTTACATTTTGAGGTCAAGTATAATAATTTTCGCCTGGTTATGAAGTTTCATTCTAGCGACACCAGATGCTGACATATGCAAGCGAACACGCGGACAGTCCCGAGGTAATATTGTTGACTTTTGGTGTCGGGGCGATCGACCGCGTGGAACGTCAGTGATTTTACCGAACTACTGTTGTAAACTCAGTTTCAGTGGTTTAAAATCATTCAGCTGTATTTTATCAGCCCTGAAAGACATATTTTATTTGGATGCTAGCTGTTTAGCGTTGTTTTATAAGCAGCGTCATGAGCGTGGTTTTTGTCTTCGGCGTTTCTAAGCATGATCGTTTGGTGGGAATTTCTCTGATATAGGTCGCTCTGTGTGGCTTATTTATAATTTTTATGCTGATTTCGATCATTCCTCGTGCCCATCCTACCAGGCCTTTTGCCACTTACACTCATTAAGAAAGGAAAAAACTAGATTTTCATTGGGACTAGGTGTTTTGAGGGTGTAACATATTCAGCGTTCCCATTTTTGGATACTTCTTGTGCTCTTCAACTCTCGGTGATTAGCAGACAGGTGCTTGACATGTCTCCACCCTCGGCGCGGACGGTGGATATAGGTATGGAAGACCTTGTTGAACATTGCTGAGCGTTGTGGATTACGTAATCCTGCAGAGGGGGGCGTGCCCGCTGCGAGATCGACGGGAATAAAAGCGCAGAAGACCGGGCGAAACATGCAACGGTCTTGCCGGAAAGGTCATCTGATGATTGTTGCGTTAATAATAATTTGCGGCGTTGGACGTGATGCTTGTTAATGAAAAGAGCCCCTGAAAGGCGTCGGTGAAATCGTTCCCAATTTTGGGTACGCCGTTCCCATAATAAGGAACGCTTGCAGCGCCAGTGTACGAGAGCGTTCCCAAATTTGGGCTCGCGGCCCGGGTGATGGACTGCTTTAGAAATAGGGGAACGATTTGTAACTACGATGGGCCTTACAATATCAAACTCTTTCCCAACAATATTGAGACAACTATCAGGCGGTTCACGATCGTTTTATATTTTTTGGACGTCATTTAACGGTTCTTTTTTTTGTTTTAAATAATGCCTACATGGCGTTCCCATATTTGGGTCTATCGTTCCCAAACATGGGAACGAAAATGCGTTCCCGAAAATGGGTACGCTTGACCATAGTTCCGCCTACTGATTTGGATCCTATGACTTCAAACAATCCTTCAATCCTATGACATGAAAACAGTAACTGGGCGGCCACAAATGCTTGAGGAAACTCTTGTAGAAAAGGACCTTGGAGTGTACATTACCAACACACTAAAACCTTCATTGAACTGTTCTAAGTCAGCAAACAAGGCCATGTCTGCCCTCAGGGTACTGAGGCTGACCTTTGGTCAATTAACAGTGAAGAACTTCAAAACCCTTTTTTCGGTGTATGTTAGACCTCATCTTGAGCACTGTGTGCAAGCGGCTGGTCCCTATTTGAATAAGGACATGCAAGCACTTGAAAAAATACAAAGGAGGGCCACTAAACTAGTCCATGGATTGAAAAGAGTACCATATGAAGAACGTTTGAAAGTACTAAACATGACAAGTATGGAAGAAAGGATCAGAAGAGGAGATTTGATAGAAACATTTAAGATTCTTAAGGGGAAATTGAACGTACGCCCAGGTCAATTTTTCACTAGCCACCACGGAAGGACGACCAGAGGTCACCAGCTCAAACTTGAGATACGGAGGTCCAGGACCCAAGCTCGAGCAAAATTCTTTGCAAACAGAGTAGTCTCAGCATGGAACAAGCTGTCTCAGGAGATCATAATGTCTGAAAACACAAACACTTTCAAGAACCGGCTAGACAAGCTCAGGACCACTACGGCGCTATCCTCTCTCTTTAACATCCACAGTACCTAAGTTACCCAGTCTGGCCCAGTTTAATGCTCGAAGTGAGCACCGAATAGACCCTGTCTACCATAGCTCACTATATTAAACTTAAACTTAAACTTCAGAAAAAAACTGTGAATGACAGTTCTGAGTTCACACAAGTTATCAACAAGGCATGAAATCAATATGATCCATAGCAGTGATGTAAAAGCGATCCAAAATAAGCTAGCCAACTCCAAGATTGCTAATCCAAAAGGAAAAATATGATAAATAATCAACAAATTGTTACATAATGAATTTGCCACACCACAGAGCCCAAACAGAGCCAGCCAACTTGGTTCGCCACAATCGCCCCAATTGCGCAATAGTATGCACATGAGTGACAAATCAGCCCATCATGCTGAATGAAACGATGTACTTTTAAAGGCAAAACGGTAATTTGAAATCATAGGATGAAAACTACTCACCATACACAAACCAAATAAATATGAGCTAACAATCGCCGGTCTACACCGTAAGCCTTGCACAACCCAATGTGTGTAATTTCCTCTCACTTTGTGAAGTAGCATATCTAACTATTTTGCAAAATTAGCTGCACTATTCACCTTCGCAGTGACGTCATTGAGGGAACTTCAGTGAGCTCCTGAAACATCCAACAAATGCCAACAATGTCGTTCAACAACTTTCCGATTATGATGACCGAAGAACGATTGCTCCATGCAAAGACAAAAACAGATTATCGATAGAATTCGAGCCATAGGAATTATATCTCAAATTATTCGCTAGCCTTTTGAGGGCATAAGGGCTTCTTCAATACGCACACCGACAGCGGCTGGTGACTCTAAATCACTTTTCCGTCATCAAAACTTAGCCATTCCATGCGTGGTTTCGTTCGATGGTTTTATTGGCCAGGCGAACGGCCGACAACAGCTCTAACGGCTTCACTCCCCCCCCCCCCCTCCATCACCACTCGCGGGAACTCTTTCGTTCTCGCCTGACCGTCGTTAGGATGGAAGGAGGTGTCGCACTCAAACGGCAATGTTCGTGAGCACGCCGCCCGGCGGACTCACGGCGACGGGCCGGCGCAGCCCCACACACACTCTTGTCGCCCAGAGGACTGCAATGCGATGTGACTTTGCAGAGAACTTCGATCAGTAGCAGCGTCCGATTTGTCCGTTTGGCTTCAGTTGAATCGCCGTATTACCTTTGTTTATAGTAGACCATAGTCCTCGCCAGTTCACGCTTTGGCAATGAAGCCAACGGACGTGCTCCCCTGGGGTTTCGCCGTGAGATGATCAACTGGATCGTGAGACACCAATGGCACTTATCGGCGCTCAGACCCATCGACATCAAAGCCAGGGACACCGCCGACACTGCGAGGTGATATATAGAACTCTCCCTTCGGTTAGCTGGTGTTGCTCAAGGAAACCCCGAACGACAGACAGCACAATACCCTGTAGTGGAGGAGCATTGCATTAAAACTGACCGCAAAAGAAACATAATGTGGATGACGAGGTGGCAAATGTGATGACAAGTCGATATAGCTAAGCACTCAGCACTTGGCCCTTGTAACCCACCCAAGTGCTCGAACACCAACACAGCTAACAGCGAAAGACCAAACAATGCACCCATAGAACATCACATATCTTAGTTGAATCACAATTGTATTGAAAGACGATTATCTGTCGCTTGGGACACTATCCACAACAAACGAATGACAACTCTCAACTGAACATAAAACAAAACGAACTTCTTGAGTCACAGCACGAAATCACTTCGCATATTTACCCTGACATTGGGTCCCTCACCACTGTGACGTCACAGATCGGAGGTAAAGCCAACGCACAGCGCGCGTCGATACAGCTCGGTAGGCCGCCTGGCGCATATCTCTCGGATTTGTTTAAACACTGCCCAGCTCAACAAGCTGTAGGCTAAACTTAGCCTGCTCGTTAACAACCAATTCTAGGGATGAGTGTTCACTGAAATACAGGGTTAAGACGAAAAATAGGTGCACATCCATCATTATTTGGACATCAAACAGCTTAACTTCCTCGAAAGTCAGTGCTTCAGTTGGTTCAACTCGGTTAATTGGTTTAATTCGGTGACAGAAACACCGAAATCGATATAAATATACGGCACATTTTGGCGTTCTAGAGCTCCATCGCGTGTCACTGAGAGAGGTGGAACGTCGGCTGCCAGTGGACTCTGCGCCGCGGTAGTTGGCAGTGACACGGCGGGGTGAGGCGCTGGGGGGGGGGGGGGATAGGGTGCCTCGACTGCCGTGGTTATCGGCGAGAGAGTGAGGCGCCAGGCGGAGTGTCCCCCAGCAGCCGCACCGCACTACGCACCGTGGCAGTGACACGTCTCCATCCGGCAGCGTCAGCACAATACGATGTTGAGCTCGCATCGGCGCCGACGGCCGAGACCCACCGCGATCTGATCGTGACGTCACAGTGGCCCGACCCGGGCCTTACACCTACGAACGACGATCAGACTGCAAACACAAGTTGCAGGCCTCCGGACTAGTCAAATAATCACTCAGATCTTTTCACTAAAACCTCTCCGAGCAAAATGTCTACCGATAACAAAACTAAAACCTGATTCTGGATTTCGGGCCGAGTCGGGAGCGGGGCCGGACCGGCCGCCCCTGTCCGCAGCCGCGGGTGGAGGGCCGGACACGGTCACCCTGTCCGCGCCGGCTCCCCTGGCCTTTAGGTGACCCGGCCGACCCTGACCCGACCCGGCCGGCCCCGGCCTACCTACGGACGGAGCCGCCATTTCGAGCGGCTGCGGCTAGCTGCGCCGGACCCCAAGTATTGGTCCGGCGCGGCGGCGGCGAACTGCGCCGGACCTCGACCCGGCGCGGCGGCGGCAAGCTGCGCCGGACCTCGACCCGGCGCGGCGGCGGCTAGCTGCGCCTGACCTCGACCCGGCGCGGCGGCGGCTAGCTGCGCCTGACCTCGACCACCAGGTGTCGGCCGCGGTACAGCCGGCCGTCCAGCTCCAGCACCGCCGAGTCGGCCACCATCGTATTCCACACCGTCACGTACGCGTACGTGCTGCCGGACAGGGGGGGGGGGGGGGGCAGAGGCTGTGGGACACGTTCCCGGGGGATAGGACGCGGGCTGCAGAGCTATGAGACGGTAAGCGGCTACCTGACACGGCTGGGGGAGGGAAGAGCTGAGCGGCTGTGGAACAAAACCAGTAAAGCGCCTTTTGGGCGAAGAACGAGCGAGCGAGATAGTGAGCCCTGCACGTGCGGAAGGGCGAGAGGATACTTCCAACGGGCTTGTGCAAAGCACCCTTTTAACCGGTCGCTAGCAGTGTGCCAAATTTGAACGCAATCGCCCAGCCGTTCCTGAGATCTGGAAACGGCATGTTGCACATGCGCACGTGCAAAAGGGTTCCAAACTGACTTTCGCACGGCACCGTACTAACCGGTCCCCAACCGTGTACCAAATTTGAGCGCAATCGGCCCAGCCGTTCTCGAGATCTGGAAGCGCCCCCTGCACGTGCGCACGTGCAGTAGCACCCCAACCGCAACACATCGGAATGCATTGCCTGGTGTATGCCTACCTGTATGCCAAGTTTCAGCGAAATCGCCCCAGTAATTACCGAGTTATTAAAATGGGGACAAATTTGGCACCTCTTCTTTTTGCATTTTGCACGTGAAGTTGGGGTCACCCACATAGATCAAGAGTATCCGACCTTTGGTAGAAGGGATGCAGCTACCCTACAAAAATTACCGCAAGACAATCGCCCAAGCGGCTGCTGAGATATGAGCCTCTCAAAATCACTACTTTTGCAAAACAGCTTGAACACCCTTGGCTTTTCACGTGGCACGTGCCACGACGGTCACTGAGATGTATCCAAAGTAGTCAATTACGGGGTAGAAGGGATGGGGCTACCCAACAAAAAAGACCGCAGGCCAATCGGTCCAGCGGTTGCTGAGATATAAGCCTCTCAAAAGCGTTACAGGCCGGGCCGGGCCGGGCCGCTCATACTGAGATTTTCCCCTTATATTGACAAGACTTCGCTTCGCTCGCTGCGCTCGCTCGCTCGTAATGACAATGGGGGAGGGGAGGGGCTAAGCAGCTCTCAGACACACACACTCAGCGTCTGGTAAACAAGGGATGGTCCTACGGCAAATATGTGACAAAGGAAATTCCAGTAATTATACCCGTTGAGTGGCAGTATCTGAGCTGTTTAGCGACAGCCGCTGCGGTGCTTCATTTCATGACTGTAACAATATGTAAAACTGCGACACATCGCCGTGCGGGCTGAGGAACTCGCCGTGCGGACTGCTGGTCGCCACCCACAATACGCCCGAGTGCTGTCCGTTACTCACAATGCGCCCGGTGGTTACTCACAATGCTCCCAGCGTTACTCACAATGCTCCCAGCCGTTACTCACAATGCGCCCGGTGGTTACTCACAATGCTCCCAGCCGTTACTCACAATGCGCCCGGCTCCAGGCCGGGGTCGTTGACCATGATGCGCACGCGGAGCGGCTTGTAGCGGCCGAAGAGGTCCATCAGCTCGAGGTCAGCCGAGTTGGCCGGGAAGTTGGCCACCAGCACGTCGACCGGCTGGTGCAGACGGTGGCGGATCATGTCCGAGTCGGCTGCCGACGCTGCCGAACGGAGAGAGCAGAAGTGAGAGGGAGGGAGAGAGGGAGGAGGGAGAGAGCGAGCCGCTGTCAGGAACACGCCTCTCGAGGTACGACAGACACCCACATCCAGCCTGACAGTTGACACTTGACAGCAGGTCCTGCGGCCTGCCGTTGTCTGTTGGCCGCAACGGGAAGACTAGCAGGCTAGAACTAGAGCTAGGCTAGAACACAGTTCTAGAACGCACCTGACGGCTGTCAACCACGCGTCGCATGCCCGACAGTCGACAGCGGAGACTCAAATAATGCATAAAGCAACGGACAGAATAGGCATGACGATGCGAGGGATGCTACAAAAGTAAAGCATACGCACAGAAGCGAGTTATCAGAAAATCTGGGATAGAATCAAAACGACGACCGAGTAGATGCCGGTAATAACTCATTTTAAAAAGACGAATGACACTTCAAAAAAAAAACTCGTTGCATTGGTCGTTTAGGCAGCTGAAATGACTCGTATCGCGCAGGACTAGGAGCCTTGTAAGCAGTCAGATACCTTTACCCACAATGATCAGTGTTCCCCACCGGAGGTGTGTGTCCGCTGTACAATGTGTCCGTGTGACACCCACCGGAGGTGTGGATCTCGTGTGTCTGTGTCAGTGTGCCTATCTGTGTACGTGTCATCCACCGGAGGTGTGGGTCCGTGCGTCTGTGTCTCTGTGTCTGTTGGGCTGTATCTGTGTGTCTAGATATATGCGTCACCCACCGGAGGTGTGTCTGTTGGCCTCTGTGTCTGGAATCTGGATCTATGCATCACATGATACCGGAGGTGTGGGCCTGTGCATCACCCACCGGAGGTGTGCGTGGCAGTGCGTCTGTGTCTGTGTGTCTGTGTGTCTCAGTGCGTCTGTGGATCTGTGCGTCACCCACCGGAGGTGTGTGTGGCCGTGTGTCTGTGTGGATCTGTGCGTCACCCACCGGAGGTGTGTGTGGCCGAGCTGCGCGCCGACTGCGGGCCGCTGCTGCTGTCGGGAGTCTGTGTCTCAGTGTGTCTCTGTGTGTCTGTGTGTCTGTGTGGGTCTGTGCGTCACCCACCGGAGGTGTGCGTGGCCGTGCGTCTGTGTCTGTGTCTCAGTCTGTCTGTGTGCCTGTGTCTGTGTCTGTGTGGGTCAGTGCGTCACCCACCGGAGGTGTTTGTGGCCGAGCTGCGCGCCGACTGCGGACCGCCGCTGCTGCTGTCCGGCGTCTGGTCGTGCGGCGCGGAGTCGACGCTGCCGTCGGGCCGGTCCGCCCGCCAGCCGCCCTCCCTGGTGCACACGCGCTTCGGACGCAGCGGCGCCCCGTACAGGTCCTCGTCCCTGGGTAGGTACAGAGCGGTGGGGTAAGACCAGAGGGGTACGGAGCACCTCAGGCACCGGCGGGTCAGCTGACGGGGAGCACCACATGTACCGGTAGAAGTCAGGTAACATGGAGCACAGAGCACCACAGACCGGCGGGTCAGCTAACAGGGAGCACAGAGCACCACGGACCGGCGGGTCAGCTAACAGGGACGCACGAGGCACCACTGCAGGTACCGGCGGGGGACAGAAGAGCAGACAAAACGGCACACCAGACCCGAGTACGCAAGTGAAAATTTGAAATAGCTGAATCCCGATCCCGATCCGCGCAGACGAAATAAATGAGTTGAGTCTTGAATAATATCAAACAATTAGTGCATTTTCGCATCGCATATTCGCTAGCCTGTAGTCGATGTACACAATGCGTACATGTCATGTGCATGTCATGCACTATATGAGCAGCGCGCCGACCGATCCCGGGTCCACCCCCCAGTTCTCTGCACCCGCTGCGCCGTGAGCGCCGGCCCGTGCCACTGTCCCCGTCGGCGTCCAGCGCCGCGCCGCGGCTCACCTGTCGCTGAACTGTCGGCGCACCTCCTGTTCCGGAAGCGGCAGCACCAGCGGAGGGATGCTCGAGCACCGCTTCCTGGGCGGCGGCGAGCTTGGCGGCGACTTGAACTCGGTCGACTCGCACTCGTACTGGTCCCCCTCACCGCCGTCTGGCGAACGGTCAGAGGGCAGGGATGAGAGGTAAAAGGTCAGGTTACAGTCGTTCTGGTCCCCCTCCCCGCCGTCTGGCCAACACGGTCAGAGATGAGAGGCGAAAGGTCAGGTTACTGATACTCCTCCCCACCCTTAAATGGCCTGATGCCCCCCCCCCCCCCCACACCGGCCGGCACTCACCGATCTCGGCCAGGCAGTCCCACCGCCCGACCCCCCATCCTCTCCTCTGGCGGCAGTGGCACCGATTCTGACCGGCATTCCCCTCTCCCTGCGGCACTCACTGGGCTCCGGCCGCCGCCAGCGGCTGCCCCCCGGCAGTCCCCTCGCCCTCTCCCTCCTCACTTACCGAGCTCGGGCCGCGGTCGGCGGTTGCCCCGGCTGGCGCCACTGCTCCTCCCTCCCCCGGCCGGCGGCACTTACCGAGCTCAGGTCGCGGCCGGCGGCTGCCCCGGCTGGTTGCCCGGCAGTCCCCTCCCCCTCTCCCTCCTCACTTACCGAGCTCGACCCGCGGCCGGCGGTTGCCCCGGCTGCGACACACCACGATCTGGTGACCCAGCACCTTGCCGCCGTGCAGCTGGTCGATGGCACGCGCCACGTCCTCGGCGCACGCCAGCTCCACGAACGCGTAACTTCTGCGGGCGAGCCGGCCAGACAGACACCTCAGGTACGGAGAGAGGCCAGCTCGGGGCACCTCAAATACGGCGGGAGGCCGGTCACGGACACCTCAGACCCGCGGAAAGGCCGGTCAGGGGACAGCTCAGATCGTCCGCCAGAACAAAGAAATGTATTTCTAAATGGGTCGCTGGACTTCATAAGAACAATCAGATGTGCTTCAATAACCCGAGTATTTCATTCACGCCAAAGTAACGCCCACTGGCACGCTGTGAGGGTGGCTGACTCACTCGAACATGTGTTTGCGGTGCAGGTGGATGTGTTTCGGGTAGATGCTGTACTTGTGGAAGAGCGCGGCGATCTCCAGCTCGTGCAGCTGCTCGGGCCAGTTGCCCAGGTAGACCTCGTGCGGTCCGCCGCCGGCCAGCGACAGCTCCAGCGCGCCGGCGCCGGCGCCGTCCTCTCCCGGCGGCGGGGCGCGCACCGGCGAGTGGCGCAGCAGTGGCGAGACGCCGATCCGGCGCGCGCCGCCCAGCCGACCGCGCACCCCCGTCTGCAGCCGCCGAGAGGCGTGCATGTCTCCGCGTGGAGCGGCGGCTGCGCGCAGCACCGGGGACAGCGTCAGACAGTACCAGACACACCGCCGTCACACAGTACAGTACCTACCTGATACAGGCACACACGACTTTTTTGTTTTGTTGGGTTAGGCCCTTTCGGTCGACAAGACCATTGCAGAGCCGGAAGGATGATAGGAATTAGGGGGAGACATTGGTCTGGGCAGGCACCCTAGTGAGTCGCCGGGGCTGAGCCCGTCCAGAGGACAGGCCACCCAGCCCCAAGGCACTCACTGCACCCGGCTACGGGGTGCGCTCCCTCGGGAGCAGCGGTGCCGCTCCAAGGGAGCAGCCCGCATGAGATAAAGTTGCCTGTCCAGCCCGGAAGGTGGTTGCGGTGTGGAGGAGAAGGATTTCTGTATCCTGAGGATAGAAGCACGGATAGGTGACACACGACTGGGGGAACCGTGGCACGGCCCCCAGACGAGACCAATAAGGAGTATGGAAGAAAAGAAACATAGTTTGTACAGAATGTGGAGGTTAGGAAGTGGAAGGAAAAACAGAAGAAGGGCTCAATACTAGTAATGCACCCCTAACCAATTCATAGCGAGTAAGTTGAAGTTTAAAAAAGGAGGAGCCGTTGCAAAGGCAATGCCTCAAACCCGTCGAGATCAAGTCCAAGGACACACAGTACCGGGCGGGAGCAAGGCCTCTACCAATATTGTCAATCGCAGTCTGGCGCCCAAGGCGGTGTCTGCCTAGTCATATCCGACTGTGGCACATCGAAGCAGGGGGGGGGGGGGGAGTAGGGGAGGGAGGACGTTTTCACGCCGGTTCTAATAGTAGGTAACACATCGGCACCTGGACCACATATCGGCACGCGGTAACTGGCGTTCATAAGAGCGTTAAAAAGTGTAGAAAAGCGTAGTGGTAGGTACTAGGTATATTTTCATACCAGGTTAAGCCACGCCCCGTGATATGACACATTTCTTAGAAAACCTATAAATGATCGAAAATGCGACCTTTGACCTACCCTGTGACGTCATCGGTTGCAAGTGGGTCAACGAAAACAGGCAGAAACCATGTTGGCAAAATCCGGCAAAAACTGGCTAAAACGTAAAGGTCAAGCTACACGGGACACTTTTCGGGTTTTGATTTTTCAGTTCTTCGCTTTTTCGGTTCGATTTATCGCTTTTTCGCGTCGGTTTTTCGTTTTCGATTTATCACTTCGTGACTTCAGTTTTTTGAGTTCCATTGATTTTTGTTTAGTTGGAACGCGCTCGGCGCTGTGAAAAGGCCAGTCCTTTTTATTTTGTTTGCAACGAGTGCAATGCGTTGGTTGCAGTTTTGCCTAGGTTTTTTTTAGACTTAACCCGGCAGTTGCTGGGGTATTTCGCCACCCACCGTTTGCTGGGGGGGGGGGGGGGCGTTAAACGCCCCCAGCCGATAACTCGAGAACCAATAGGCGCAGCGAAACGCACGAGGCGGCAAACGAAAGAACGCGACGAGACGCTTCAGATGAGTACTTTACTTTAAAGTTGAATTTTGAGGCCACAGGTCGGGTCAAGGTCAGGTCAAACACCTGAAATCAGACTTTCAGTAGCATGGACTTCAGGACTTCGCAATGAGCGCCTCTCGTCATAAACTCTGTCAAAACGGTGCACAATCCATCATATAAGGCCTACAAGAGTGTCAGCCCCATGTAGGGGTCAGTCAAGCATAGGTCAGGGTCAAGGTCAGGTCAACCGGGTAGGCACATATCCCCGAAAATCAAAACTGATATGCGCAGCCTTTGACACATGTTTTATGGGTAATTTGGGGCGTAGAACACGATGGTGACATTCATTTTATCATATGTTTACGTGTTTGGCTCAAAAAGTTCAATTTAAGAAATGTATGTATCATGGTCGTGAAGTAGTCACGAGAAATTGCCAAGATTCAGATCAAGATTTTGGCAAATGCGAAACGATAATCAATAATCGAAGATAGCCATTTGATTGTTCATGGTATTGGCAGTCTAGTGGCGTTTACGGCATGTCTGTATGTCTATTCCGTGATTTTATATGATTTTTTGAACATATGCCGTTTTTGGTCGAAAACTCAGAAATCACGACGTCACTAAAACCTCGATCCTAAAATTTTTTCCGGCCGATTTTTTCGAAATTTTGTCACAATAGACTTCAATCAATTCCCTACAGGTACCCAAAATTTGGGTACCTGTAGGGAATGCTATGGTCCGGCGAAAAAAGTGGGGGCGTTTAACGCCCCCCCCCCCCCCCAGCAACTCGCGGGTTAAGTGGCAGTATGTTGTCTGTTCTAACAGATGGAACTTACGTATAATCGATTTTGCCTGTTTTGTAGAAGGAAATTGGCTTCACTTCCACCAGCTATTAACCGGCGCACCGCTGAGGCTCCTGGATTTCCACACCCTGCTGGGAGGGGGAACACCCCTTGAAACTTGGCTCCTGGGCCACGTAGCGACACGCCGTAGGCGGCATTCGAAAGAGCTAAAAAATAAGGAACCAACTACTTCGGCCATTTTTAGGTCAGATGTAGGCCAAAGGACAGGTCACTAAAGGTCATCGAAGGTAAAATTTCGCCAATATCTATTTTTTTTTCACTTTCTTGTTTATTTGTACATCTTTCAATGCATTCGTTTACAAACCTTTGGATGTGTTAACATGCGCTTACATTGTTTACACAATCCCGCTTCCTGCAAGCGGCGGAAACTGATTTACAGGGGTCACGTGTGACCATTACGTCGGTGACAGCAATGCACAGTGCGATCGAAGCGCCGCGACCGACGGGTGGAACGGCACCACTGCACTGGTCGGCCCACTGCCCGTCTTTCGCCAATATCTAGGTTAAACTTCGACAATTTTCGACAGACCAGTCCATAGCTCAGGAATGGATAGAGCTAAAGCGCCGCGGAAAGGCGCAATCAAACGTTCTTTTAATCCGCGCCGGGCCGGTGCTCCGCGACTTCCGTGCCGGGCAAGGGGGGAGGGGGTGTCTGAACACCCGCTCGACGAAAACACTTCGGTCATTTTTTGGGTCAGGTCAAAGGTCAGGTCACCAGAGGTCACCAAAGGTAAAATGTTGGCTATTTCAACATTTTGGAAACTGTCAATGGCTAACTCGTGGACCGATAGCTACAGCGCCGCGGAAAAGCGCATTCGATAGCTCTTTTAACGCTCTTTCACCAGCGTGTCCTCAGATTTGACCTCAGGTCAACGGTTTAGCCTCCAGAGGGCAAAAACTCCAAAAATAGCCGTTTTTACGAAACGTGTTGTTCGGCAATAACTTTTCACTCAAAAGAGCCACGACATTACTTTTGCCAGCATCGTGTTCCTCTCGTCAAGACGCGTCGAATAAAGTATAAGTTGACCGGAAAATGTCATGTTGCAGATCAGTCGATCCGCATCGTCGAGCCGAACAATCTAAGGCGTTTTTATCGCTCTAGTAAGCTTCTATCAGAACTTATTAGCGAAAAACTGTTAGATACTACCTATTCGTGACCTGAGATGACCTCGGGGACATAACGAGGGGTCACAGGTGCCATTTTCCGGTTCAGTGTGCCAATTTTACCTGCATCCCGATTTTTGAGAGTGTTTAGAATGGCGTTCGTGCAAAAGAGACGCTTTTCAATTTTCTCTCATTGACTTACAATGGAGAGGCCGCAAAATTGACCTGACCTTAGGTCCCCGATGTCAAAATTCCGAGATACGTAAACGTTTTATAGATACTGTTACTCTTATCAATCACTGAAAGTTTCAAGGCAATCGTTCAGTCGGTGTAGCTATGACGGGCATTCTAATTTTTTTTTCTGAGGTGAGGTCACTTGGCGTGACCTGACCTTGAGCGACCTGGGTCTGAAATTTTCACAACATGTACGGAAAAGATGCACAAACAGGTGTGCCAAAAACCGCAGGGTTACTGGTGTTCAAACACCCCCCCCCCCCGATCCGGCGCGGGTTAAATAGAAGCATTCAAGCATGCTAGAACACTGAAAACACCATGGAATATGAACCCACTGACATGCAAGATGACACTTTCTGCGACCTTGACCTGATGTAAAATTTTTAAAGTTGACTTTTTTAGGCCAACTTATGTATAGTTCATTCGATGCGTCTCGACGACAGAAGCTGGTAAAATACACGTAATACAAGCTTAGTGTCAAAAGCTATTACGGAAAAAAGTTTTCCGCAAAAAAGGTCAAATTTTGACAAATATTGATCTCTGGAGGCCAAACCGTTGACCCTAGGTCAAATCTCATAATTCAACCCTCGCCCGTATAAGGGGGTGGCGGGGTAGGGGGAGGGGTTGGAGGACGAACGGACCAACTCGTTAGGACTCAGAACGACTTCAGGCAGACCTAGATAGACTCTCGCAATGGACTGAACAATGGCTTCTTGAATTCAACCCCCAAAAGTGTAAAGTGATGCACTGTGGACCACAAAACCCAAAAAGATCTTACAGTATTAGAGGAGTCAAACTAGAAGTCACAGATAAGGAGCGAGACCTGGGGGTGACTATAACAAACGACCTTCGACCTACTAGTCACTGTCAAAGAGCTGCGAGCAAAGCAATGGTAGCTCTCCGAATGATAAAGAGGTCCTTTGACCAAATCACAGCAACAAACTTCACCAGCCTCTTCAACTCATATGTGAGACCACACCTGGACTACTGTATACAAGCTGTGGGTCCCCAAGCTGTTCAAGATATCAGTCTCCTCGAAAACATCCAGCGCAGAGCTACAAGATTGGTGAGGGGGTTAAAGCACAGGCCATACCAAGAAAGACTAAAAGTCCTGAAGACCGTATCTATTAAAGACAGGATAAAAAGAGGCGACTTGATTGAGACGTATAAAATCATGTCAGGGAAGCTCAATGTGAGGAGAGAGAAGTTTTTCAAACTGAGGACGACAAATACAAGAGGTCACCATATGAAATTACACAAGGAGCAGTCAGTCCATCAAGCCAGACAAAGGTTCTTCTCACAGAGGGTGGCTAATGACTGGAACAAGCTACCAGATGATGTTGTGTCTGCTGACACCACTGCTACATTTAAAGCTAAGCTAGATAAGCACCTCCAGCTCAAAGCCAACTGTGACCTGTGACCTCCAACCTCAATGAGTACCCTGACATGTTTCCTTGCCAACAATGACATGGACAACAAATAGCATACTGCTACCCCAAGTCCATTATCTATATACCTATACCTATACCTATTAGTGTTGTCACACTAATCTGATTAGTGTGACAGCATCTTATAAAACACTTACTTGTACTCTTCACATTTACACCAGGTTTCCTGCACTATCTTACCTTGAAACACTAGAAAAATGGTAAAATAAACCTTCCTAGTGCTTCCAGGTTCCCCAACCTTCCTAGGGTTTATATTGATATAGCCTTGCTTCCTAGTAAGTGCTTCCTATAAGCCAAGGCCACGTCACTAATAAAAGGCAGTTTTGACTTTTCCACCTATATACGGCCTTGTTTCGCACTATGGCCTATATTGACATGAGGCAAATATTCAAATAACGCCACACACGCCTGTCAGCAACGACCCATAGCAAAAAGAGCAACGACCAATTTGCAAACGCACCGCGAAGGAAAGCAATTTGGTAGCCCGGCATCGACATACTGATTGAAGTATTTTTCTACGCAGATAAGCATCACTGAAATCCCTTCAAATTATCATTTAGTTTTTAGTTTTAGATATGTTTTTATCAACAGAAATTCGACTAATTTTCAACTACTTTAATTTATGTTTCGATCTTAAATAATACTCTTGAATAAAAGAAGTCAGCATTTTTTGCGACGTCAAATATGGCTGCACTATATCAAGTATCTAAAATAGGGCTCATCCTGCATTTACGTGACCTTGATCGAAATCGTGTGGATCCGTGGGATTTTTGCGGTGATCTTTGCGGAGATCGCGGAGATCCAGGATCCTGGATGAATATTTCAAAAACGTGGAGTGATCGGCATTTCGCACCGTTCGTCTGCAATTAAAGGATTACAAGAGTGGGTTTACGATTTATCACTGAAGGCTGATGACAGTGGTCAGTTGTGTAATGTAGCCATGCATAGCATATTGATATTTGCTTTGACGCACTCATCGTAAAAAACGAAAACGTGGCCACGTAACGCTAGGATCCTGGATCCTATGCTTATTGTTTGCACTCATCGTAATGAAAACATAAATGGGTAAAAATGGGAAATGGGAAAACATAAAAGTATTTCCTTGTGTACCTGGCCCCTCGGTACTTACAAAGAATAAGATTTTGATAAGCTAGTGCCCAAACCATAGGCATTAGAAACTTTTCAATAAGCCCCTTGTGCATTTCAATTTAGTGAAAGATCATCCTGTTACAATGTTCAATGCTCAAACTGTTGTCTCTTAAAATATATATACCTATATGGGAACTGCACTTGTGCATGCCTGGTTGATTTTATGCCTTATGGTGTGACAGAAGAATTTGTATGATGATAGAGTAGGTGGCTGTTGAACAATAGCTTTAAAATAATTAGCCCATACATTGTGGAAATGGATCACATTGAAGAAGGAATTCAAGTTTTTGGTACCCCTAATTTGGCACATGGTGTGTGTTGTGCCCAGCATCAATTGATCATAAATGCATACATACATACATACATGCATGCATACATACATACATACATACATACATACATACATACATACATACATAATCAATCAGATCAACCAGGTAATCAACCAATCTGAGCATGTCCAAGAGCATTTAATGTGTAATATAGGAGATAGGATAGGGCTAACCTGCAAAGAAGACTGTTGAAGGATGTGATATTGTACATAGTGATGCTGAGGTCTGGTTCTGACTACACAAATACACAATGAGTTAAACATTTCATTAACCATTTTCAGTTTTAATCATCAACTTTATTTTATCTGAATAATCTCACAAGGAGCAAAAAAGTATATGTATATGACCTAGGTATTTATGCATGCATCTTGCATCTTGTAGAATTTGTTTCTTTATTGGTTAATGCTACTGCATGCCCAGTAGGTAGCTACTCAATACTCATGCCACTTGTTTTATTGCTACCCACTGAACAGTGAACACTGAACAGTTACTACTATTCCAAACTCATGGCATACAAGTTCAAATGCTTTTTCCTTTGGCTGGGGAAGGATTCTGCAGACCAACAGACAAGCACCTGCTTGACTGATAAATATAACAAAACTAATTATTTAAAGTTCTGAAGTAAATTGAGCTGGCCAAAAGTTCATTGTTGGCAGAAAAATATGACAAAAGAAAGTCGAATAAAAAAAGAGGAAGAGCCTCCAACCGCCACAGTGGGGAAATGGTACACCTGACGCAGCCAACTGCGTCCACAGTCAGTGGGGTAAGGGTGTCCCTGACTGGCCGACTGTGTCCACAGTCAGTGGGGTAAGGGTGTCCACTCCCTGACTGGCCTACTGTGTCCACAGCGGAGACGGCGGCATGTCTGCGCGCCAGCTAGGGGACACCTAGCGCGCCGGACAGCCCCGCTGGTGGACGTCTCCGGCGCCGCTGACGCCTGAACATGGCCTCGTGGAACACGTTCTCACGCTCTCCGGGCCCTTCGGCGCGGCCGCGGCGCTCGCTGCACCCGGAGGCAGCGCCCGACGAGCAGGACTGGCGCGTGCCGGCCTTCTTCCGACAGGGACGCCACCTGGGAAAGATCGAGGGCGAGCCCGTGCAGCGCGAGTGCTGGCGTATGAAGGAGCGGGTACGTATGGCAGGAGAGGGAGGCTGGTGCGGGACCAGGGGGGGGGGGGGATAAGACTGGTCCGAGACCGGGAGGGGAGGGGGCTGTAACGGGACCGGAGGCTGGCACGGCAGACACCTGTACGTAGGGCATGAGTGTCGCCAGCGTTGTCGGGAGGGCGGAGAGGGGTGGCAAATAGGCTAGTAAGGAGCAGGCGAGAATTTTGTGTGTAAAATTTCAATTGTGTGAATTTCGGGGCCGGGTCGGACCTCATTTCAGCATGGCTTTGCGTTGCTCCTTCGAAAAGACGACCTAAAAATTCACTTTCCCTGCCAAGTCAGGTCACCGAATTATGACCAAATAAATATCCTGGTACCATTATTTTAACTCTGCGGCCTTTGGGGAAAGCTTTTAGTCAAACTTTTAGGGCCCAAAGCCAGACAGTTCATACCCCCTATCCCGTCAAATGATGCCATGGCCAAAGCTGATGATGATTCACTAATGCTTTACATTAAGCCATAAAAGGGGGTGCTTGCATTGGTGATAAAGTTCGCTGCTTAATTTTGATCGAAATTTTTGATTACGAGCGAGCGAGCGCAGCGAAGTCTTTTCAATATAACGGAAAAATCTCAGTATGAGCGGCCCGGCCCGGCCCGGCCCGGCCTGTAACGCTTTTGAGAGGCATATATCTCAGCAACCGCTGAACCGATTGGCCTGCGGTCTTTTTTGCTGGGTAGCCCCATCCCTTTTACCCCGTAATTGGCTAATTTTGATGCATCTCAGTGACCGTCGTGGCACGTGCCACGTGAAAAGTCAAGGGTGTTCAAGCAGTTTTGCAAAAGTAATGATTTTGAGAGGCCCATATCTCAGCAGCGGCTTGAGCGATTGTCTTGCGGTAATTTTTATAGGGTAGCTACATTCCTTCGACCAAAGGTCGGATACCCTTGATCTATGTGAGTGTCCCCCACTGCACGTGCAAAATACAAAAAGAAGAGGTGCCAAATTTGTTCCCATTTCAGTAACTCGGTAATTACTGGGGCGATTTCGCTGAAACCTGGCATACAGGTAGGCACCCACCAGGCAATGCATTCCCATGTGTTGCGGTTAGGGTGCTACTGCACGTGCGCACGTGCAGGGGGCGTTTCCAGATCTCGAGAACGGCTCGGCCGATTGCGCTCAAATTTGGTACACGGTTGGGGACCGGTTAGTAGGGTGCCGTGCAAAAGTCATTTTGGACCCCGATTGCACGTGCGCACGTGCAGAATGCCGCTTCCAGATCTCAGGAACGGCTGGGCCGATTGCGTTCAAATTTGGCACACCGCTAGCGACCGGTTAGAAGGGTGCTTTGCACAAGCCCGTTGGAAATACCCTCTCGCCCTTCCGCACGTGCAGGGCTCACTATCTCGCTCGCTCGTTCTTCGCCCAAAAGGCGTTTTACTGGTGGTATGAAATGCACCAGTTTCCAGTTTTATGAGACATATTTGGCGTCAGTTACGCCAAATCTGGCGTAATTGGGGTGCGAGTCATAGGTGATTAATTTTATGAAATGAGGCCAGGAGTGGAGTGAGCTACGGCAACTGTGATAGCTTTCACGGTTGCCGTAGTTCAGGGGCGGAGGAAAGCGAGGCCTCCCGAATATTTTTTTCTCTCCTGAATCCGTGACCTTTAATAAGAACACCTCATGCTAATGTTTTGCAAGGTATTAAGACTACTAACGCGGGAATGTATTGTCATGTATTGCCTATGCTCCTTCCAATATATATTGTCTTCCCTCTCTCTCCGTGCCAGATGTTGCCGTGTTGGTGACACCTGACAGCAGTCGCTCCCCTCCCCCGTCTTCCGTTTGACAGATGAAGACGGTGAGCGTGGCGCTGGTACTCTGCCTCAACATCGACGTGGATCCCCCCGATGTGCTCAAAACCAGTCCGTGTGCCCGCATGGAGACCTGGATTGGTGAGTACCGCCCGGCCCCGCACCCCGTCGGCCGTCTCCCGCCGGGCGCTATTGTCAGCGGCCACACGACACGGGCCCGCAGAGGACGCGGTGGAGGCAGCAGTCGAAACAATGAATAAAAGTCTGACGGCCTTCTTTTGGAACTAGCGGGATGAGCCGTATCGTTTAAATCGAATATGTTACTCTTCCTTGGTCGAGGATGACAGGTATCTGAATACGTTTACTGGCGGATTTTGCAATGTTCGCGACTTTCAGTAGCCCTATGACGTGTAATATTTATGTGAGCTATCGTTATCGTCACCGCCGTTCTGGACGGCAGTCTCCGCTGTCCCCTGTCAGTGACGTGCCCGTCCGTCCGGCTGCCGGCAGACCCGCGCACAACGACGAGGGCTCCCCGCGCGATGGATCTAATCGCCGCGAATTTGCAGGCTCAGTACCAGCGCTGGCAGCCCAAGGCCAGGTGAGTGTGCGGCGCGCGGCTGCCGTCAGCCGGACCGTGATAAAGCAGCAGCACACTCTGTCCATGAGCGTGCTGCTCATCGGCGCTCCCGGCTCCGGGCCGGGGCGGCAGCGGCGGGACGTGAAATACGCTCAGTTTGCTACCGAAAACTTACGTGGAGTAGATCCATCTCGTAGCTTGCTTTTTATAATTTGAGGGTAAATGGTGAAATGATCTTGAATGGTCTCCGACGCTCAAATAGGCATGCGTGTTTTATTGCATTGTATATCAGTAAGGGGTTAACAAGTGACATAATAAGTGTAAATTGATCTCCTTGTTGACACCTGTTCGCTTTACCGGTCAGTTCGGCTAATGCTAAGTGACGGTCGGGCTCCCTTTGTACGTCACCTTCCCATTGCTGTCACTCCTACACCGTGTGTCACGGCGCCCCGTGCCGCGCCGCCAGGTACAAGCACTCTCTGGACCCGACCACGGATGACGTGAAGAAGCTGTGCACCTCCCTGAGGAGGAACGCCAAGGAGGAGCGCATCCTGTTCCACTACAACGGACACGGCGTGCCGCGGCCCACCAGCAACGGCGAGATCTGGGTCTTCAACCGGGTGAGCGCACTGCGCCGCGGCCGGGCGGGCTCGGGTGGAGCACGGACTCGGCGCCGCGGCCGGGGCAGCACGGGCAGCCGTACTGACGGCTGCCATGTGGCCTGCTTGTCGCCTCAGTCATGTGATCTGTCGTACTGTGTAACATTCTCGGTTGACTCCTTCTTTCGGTTTTGCTGTGGAACTATTTTTGGTTTAACATATGTATGGTATGGCTACGTTTTTTTTTTTAAATAGTAAAATAACTACAAAATTAGCTGATACAGTATGATACGATAAATGATACAATCAACCGGATACTGAAGTATCAAATCTCGCGAATTGCTCACGCTCTGTCTCTGATGGACTGCGGTCCCCCTTTTCTATTATGAGTTGTCCCAGACCGGCTCTTAGCACCCCGCACCGCTCCGCACCCCCTGACGTGCGGTGTGTGTGCGCTGTTCCAGAACTACTCTCAGTACATCCCGCTGTCGATCTACGAGCTGCAGACCTGGATGGGCGCGCCGTCCATCTACGTCTACGACTGTTCCAGCGCCGGACAAATCGTCGACTCGTTCAACCTGTTTGCGTCGCAGAGACAGGTACGGACGGCGGCGGCGGGCGGGGGTCGCAGAGGCAGCTGGTACGGACGCTGGCGGGTGGGTGGTGTTCTGTAGGTGTTCTGTCCAGCTCTATCCCCGATCTGCCCCGCCCTGACGCCGCTCTACCTCCCCGTGCGCAGGCGGAGAACCACGCGGCCTCGGAGGGCGGCACGGCGTCCCTGAGCAGCTGCATCCAGCTGGCGGCCTGCGGTGCCAAGGAGATCCTGCCGCAGCACCCGGACCTGCCGGCCGACCTCTTCACCTGTTGTCTGACCACGCCCATCAGGATGGCGCTGAGGTCGGTGGGCGGGGCCACCAGACAGGGGCGGGGTCACCCGACTGACCACGCCCATCAGGATGGCGCTGAGGTCGGTGGGCGGGCCACCAGACAGGGGCGGGGTCACCCGACTGACCACGCCCATCAGGATGGCGCTGAGGTCGGTGGGCGGGGCCACCCAGACAGGGGCGGGGTCACACGACTGACCACGCCCACCCATCAGGATGGCGCTGAGGTCGGTGGGCGGGGCCACCAGACAGGGGCGGGGCTACCCGACTGACCACGCCCATCAGGATGGCGCTGAGGTCTGTGGGCGGGGCCACCAGACAGTGGCGGGGGCACACGACTGACCACGCCCATCAGGATGGCGCTGAGGTCGGTGGGCGGGGCCACCAGACAGTGGCGGGGGCACACGACTGACCACGCCCATCAGGATGGCGCTGAGGTCGGTGGGCGGGGCCACCAGACAGTGGCGGGGGCACACGACTGACCACGCCCATCAGGATGGCGCTGAGGTCGGTGGGCGGGGCCACCAGACAGGGGCGGGGCTACCCGACTGACCACGCCCATCAGGATGGCGCTGAGGTCGGTGGGCGGGGCCACCAGACAGGGGCGGGGTCACCCGACTGACCACGCCCATCAGGATGGCGCTGAGGTCTGTGGGCGGGGCCACCAGACAGTGGCGGGGTCACCCGACTGACCACGCCCATCAGGATGGCGCTGAGGTCGGTGGGCGGGGCCACCAGACAGTGGCGGGGGCACACGACTGACCACGCCCATCAGGATGGCGCTGAGGTCTGTGGGCGGGGCCACCAGACAGTGGCGGGGGCACACGACTGACCACGCCCATCAGGATGGCGCTGAGGTCGGTGGGCGGGGCCACCAGACAGGGGCGGGGCTACCCGACTGACCACGCCCATCAGGATGGCGCTGAGGTCGGTGGGCGGGGCCAACAGACAGGGGCGGGGTCACCCGACTGACCACGCCCATCAGGATGGCGCTAAGGTCGGTGGGCGGGGCCACCAGACAGGGGCGGGGTCACCCGACTGACCACGCCCATCAGGATGGCGCTGAGGTCGGTGGGCGGGGCCAACAGACAGGGGCGAAGGCGCCGCCGCGTACCGTCAGATACTGAAACTGACGGATGTCCTGTACCGTCCCTTGCCACACCACCAGTCGTGGTCTGGGGCAAACAGCCAAGGGCAAGGGCAGGTCCCCCAGGAGTGGCATAGTGCGTAAGAGTCATAGCATTATCAGCAGCTGCTTGTAGTTTACTTTGAGCCCCGAGTGGTTGGTAAAGTAAGGGAATCTGACACTGTGGACAGGTCCTACTGGCAGTTTGCGACCGACGCCTGCCGCTGCTGCTGACCCGTCACCCTCCGTCCAGTCTGCCGCTGACCCGCCTCCGCCGTCCCTGGCAGGTGGTTTGTGATCGGCCGGCAGAGCCAGCTGGTGACACAGGCTGACCCCCTGGCTTGGTGCAGGTGGTTTGTGATCGGCCGGCAGCCAGCTATGAGTGGTGACTGGCTGACCCTCCCCCCCCCCCCCGGTTTGGCGCAGGTGGTTTGTGATCGGCCGGCAGAGCCAGCTGGTGACGGGAGTAACGGTGGACGACCTGGACAAGATTCCCGGCCAGCTGACCGACCGCAGGACGATGCTGGGCGAGCTCAACTGGATCTTCACGGCCATCACGGACACGATCGCCTGGAACACGCTGCCGCGCGGTCAGTGGATGGAGGTCTGAAGGAGTGGACAGGGGACAGACAGGGGATGGATACTGTCGGCCGAGCACAGTGGCGCTCGTCACTCAATTCCGCAGCTAACTGAGAAGAGCCAATGCCACGGTGGTCTCATTTTGCTGCATGCCATTTAGCGCTGGCCGTGCATTCAAAATTTAGTTTTCATTGAATACTTCGTCAGGGGCTGGCCAGGACATTGACATTCTGTAGGGGCGCGGGGCGCATGTTGAAGGGATGCTGAATCTGAAGGGTACCTGACGGAAAATCCTCAGCACTGCCTGCCTGGCGGGCATCTGAGCCGAGGCTGTGTCTGTGCTGACGCCGCCGGTCGCCCCGTCCCGCTCCCAGACGTGTTCCAGCGACTGTTTCGCCAAGATCTTCTGGTCGCCAGCTTGTTCCGCAACTTCCTGCTTGCCGAGCGGATTATGAAGTCCTACGACTGCACCCCGGTGTCGCACCCATTCCTGCCCAGCACCCACAAGGTGAGTCGCGCGGGTGTGCTTATTTTATTCACTGGTGCCCTAAAAATGGAGACCTACGTGGCGCCTCCTGTACTCGTCTCGTGCCGAACGTGACGTCAGTCATGGTGATGTATGTCGTGAGACGTAAGGTGAATGCCCTCTGTTAGCAATGTTCACGACAAGAAGCGCCTGCAGCTGTATGAGGCCTGATCGAATAGTGCGTATCACTCTCACCCATGTGGCACACGTACCCATATGTCGCGCGTTTCAGCACGGGATGTGGGCGTCGTGGGACCTGATTGAAAGTGCTGATGTACTTGAATTATTTGCCGCTGTTGTTCCAGCACGGGATGTGGGCGTCGTGGGACCTGATTGACGAATGCTGCTGATGTAGGGGAGAGTGGGGCAAAGCGGCCACCCGGGGCAAAGCGGCCACCCATCGTTTTAGCCCTTCATAGCTGGCGTCAGTTCCAATTTATGGTTTCCAATTATACTTCTCTTCACGGTCGTTCGAATGAGCCAGACCGGGGTTTCAGGCCCATCACCATTGTTCTGTGAAACACGGAAAAGCATTTCTTGCCAGGTTACCAACTATGTTTACAATTTTTAAATGTTATGTTATTCCATAACCGTTTTGGAATTTTTATAAGCGTTCTTGTCCATGCATTGCATGGTTATCGTACATGTATTCTACCAATTTTAATGTTTTTTACCCCACTAATAGCTAAGCTGGAATATTTTTGTCTCGGACGGTATGCGCGGGGCAAAGTGGCCGGGGCAAAGTGGCCACCCCCCAATTGGCCATAAGTTGCTTCCATCTGGATAAAAAACCTTATTTACATTGAAATGTGTCGTCATGCATTCATCTTGGCCACTTTTCAGTTGCATGAGTTGCCAAATAATGCAATTAAATGTTAATTTTCATGAAAATCCTTTCTTTGTTTACCTACAGGTGGAAGATGATAAAGTAAACATCCATCCTCGATTAACCTTGTCACCATCAAATACACTAGTCGTACACGAGGCAACTATTTTGTTTCTCATATCGGGACTTGAGAAGACGCCGGTGGCCGCTTTGCCCCAGGGTATGGGGCAAAGTGGCCAATATGCATAGGTTTAAAGTTTTGTCAATATCTTTCATATGTGAACGCCTTTGGAAATAAAACGCAGTTGAAATAAAAGGCAACTTACTAGGGATCACATTGGTATAGAAAGAATCTTTCCAAGTTTAAAAATCAAGCGTTGGCATCGTGAGAAGCGTTAGGGTGGCCGCTTTGCCCCACTCTCCCCTATCTCTGTTAATTGCCCCCTGTGTTTCAGCACGGGATGTGGGCGTCGTGGGACCTGGCGGTGGACGTGTGCCTGCTCCAACTGCCGGCCATCATCCGCGAGAACCGCCAGACCTACAATCACTCGACCTTCTTCGAGGAGGAGCTCACCGCATTCCAGGTGCGAAGCGGCAGGGACCTTGGGAGCAGAGCGGGAAACTTCTCAGTCACTCAGAATCCTGTAGATTATCTGAGAGAACACGGGTGGCGGTTGACATTTAATGGAAATAGGAAGAGTCGTCACTTTTTGTTTTGTTTGTTTGTTTTGTTTGCTTGAAAGGCTGGGCCCTTTCGGTCTAACAGGACCATTTCAGAGCCGGAAGAATGATAGGAATAAGGAGGAGACATTGATCTGGGCAGGCACCCTAGTGAGTCACCGGGACTGAGCCCCCCGAATGGACAGGCCGACCAGCCCCCTCCTTAGGGAGCAGCCCGCATAAGATAAAGGTGCCTGTCCAGCCCGGAGTGGGGGTTGCGGCGTGGAGGAGAAGGATTTGAACATCCTGAGGATGGAAACGACGGACGGGTGAGGTCGTCACTTTGCTGTTTGCGTTTTCCCAAATTAGTGGGGACGTTGTTGTCGTGTTTCCCGGGTTTACCGTGTGGCTCTCTGTTCTGTCAGGTGTGGCTCAGGTTCGGTGTGGACGTTAAGCAACCGCCAGAGCAGCTGCCTATCGTCCTTCAGGTGAGTATAGCTATTTCATCTGCTCGTTCATCTGTCATTGACTCCTTATCGGCAACAGCTATACCCGGGAGGACCGTGCCGCCATCCACATTTGGTACATTAAACTGCCGATTGAAATTCTCACCGGTGAACCGGCAGCGGGCAGGCTGGATGATGAGTCCGTCCGTGGTGTCATTCGCAACAAGCACTGCTTAGCGGGACACCGGGGCCCGCATCCACTCACTAATCCGTTCAGACTTTCTATAAAAAAGAAACAGTCGTGTTCCACCCCAGTCAAGAAATTCCAAGAGGTGTTACTCGCTCAGGTCTATATCTGTCTGTCGTCAGGTGTTGCTCAGTCAGGTCTGTGTGTGTGTCGTCAGGTGTTGCTCAGTCAGGTCTGTGTCTGTGTGTTGGCAGGTGTTGCTCAGTCAGGTCTGTGTCTGTCTATCTGCAGGTGCTGCTCAGTCAGGTCTGTGTCTCTCTATCTGCAGGTGTTGCTCAGTCAGGTCTGTGTCTCTCTGTCTGCAGGTGTAGCTCAGTCAGGTCTGTGTCTGTCTATCTGCAGGTGTTGCTCAGTCAGGTCTGTGTGTCGGCAGGTGTTGTTCAGTCAGGTTTGTGTCTCTCTCTATCTGCAGGTGTTGCTCAGTCAGGTCTGTGTCTGTCTATCTGCAGGTGTTGCTTAGTCAGGTCCACCGTGTCAGAGCGCTGGACCTGCTGAGCCGCTTCCTGGACCTGGGCTCCTGGGCGGTGAACCAGGCGCTCTCCGTCGGCATCTTCCCCTATGTGCTGAAGCTGCTGCAGGCCTCGGCGCGCGAGCTGCGGCCCCTGCTCGTCATCATCTGGGCCAAAATCATGGCGCTCGACCCGGTCAGTGCGTGGTGCGCAAAAAAGGGTGATAGTTAGCAGGGCTGCGGAGTCGATGGATTTTCGGCGACTCCGACTCCGACTCCGACTCCGGCTTTCAAAAACCAGCTCCGACTCCGACTCCGACTCGGGGCAGAATTGTCGACTCCGACTGACTCCAACTCCCGACTCCGACTCCGCAGACCTAGCAGGGCTGCGGAGTCGACAGATTTTCGGTGACTCGGACTCCGACTCCGGCTCGGGTTTCTAAAATCGACTCCGACTCCGACTCCGACTCCGGTCACAACTGTCGACTCCGACCGACTCCGACTCCGACTCCGACTCCGCAGGCCTGATAGTTAGATCTGCTGAGAGGCTTATCATGGGGTTTGGAGAAGTGGCAACATAGGGGATTCACGATTCGCCTTGATGGCTGTTAGTTATTTTCAGAAATCAGATTTATTGTCAAAATGTATTATCTGAGGTTTTCAGTTTTGTATTTATTAAACTTTTCAGCGTATCTTTGGCCTTTGCTGAATGTTGCAATCAATAATCTTGTCTAGTTGAGTACAATTTTGTCGAGGCCGTCCAGGCTGACGTCCCACTCGCACTGACCCCGCCTGATTGTCCACCCCTGCTCACAGGCGCCGGTTTATTTGTCCTCCCCGTTCCACAGGCGTGTCAGGTGGACCTGGTCCGTGACAACGGACACCGGTACTTCCTGGACGTACTGGCCGACCCGCACATGCCGGCAGAACACCGCACCATGGTGAGTCAGACTATGATGTCAAGTCCCCCTCCTCTCTTGTGCGTCGACGAGTCTGAAGTCCGGGCGCCCAAAAATCACAAGTTACATCTTTTTACCCCACCAGCACCGCACCATGGCCAGTTCATTCAGAGGGTCAGTTATTAAAAGGTGCTCATCGGTGATCGGGAATTGCGGTCCGACGTAACGAGTTTCATGGTAGCAGCTTCAGCTTTTACACACTCGTCGTAGAACCACTCGCTGGAGCGCCAACCTCGAGGTATGACCGGCCACACAGATATACAGCTGATGACCCTTTCCCTGACGTTGTCCGTCCCACCAGGCGGCGTTCGTGCTGGCTACCATGGTGCGGGACTACCGAGCGGGCCAGCAGGTGGCGCTGCAGGGCAGTCTGATCCCCTACTGCGTGGAACAGATGGACGACCCCAGTCCGCTGCTCAGGTGAGGGACGGAGGGGCGACCCCAGTCCGCTGCTCAGGTGACACCTAATCTACCTGATCTGATACGTTATCAGGTATCGGGTGATACCTAATCTGACGCGTCCCTGTACGGACAGAAGGTCATATTCTAATTCTATCATTGCCAAACTGCTTACCGCCTTCTAGCGGACACCGATTCCATGACGTTGGATGATGGATCAGGTCCTGGTCGTGGTCAGTCCAGTGACGGTGCCGGCGCTGGCAGGATCAGCGCCGTCTGTGGACTGTGAGCCGCTGCGTGTGACTCCCTGTGACCCCATATGACCCCGTGTGACCGCGTGTGACTCTGGCGTCAGGAGCTGGCTGGCCATCACGCTGGGCCACCTGTGGCTGCACAACGACCAGGCGCGCTGGTCGGGCGTCCGAGACATGGCGCACGACAAACTGCTCGCCCTGCTCGAGGACGAGGTGCCAGAGGTCAGTCCGCTGGGGAGAGGGGGAAGGGCAGATGCCGGAGTTCAGTCCGGAGTGGTACCGGAGGTCAGTCCGAGGGGGAACTGCTCGCCCTGCTCGAGGACGAGGTGCCAGAGGTCAGTCCGCTGGGGATCAGGTGCCAGAGGTCAGTACAGGGAGGTGCCGGGAGGTCAGTCCAGTGGGAGGAAGGGCGCGCGAGGTCATTTCGGAAGGGGTCGAGGTGCCAGAGGTCAGTCCGAGGGAGGAGGGGCGCACGAGGTCAGTCTAGAAATGGATGGGCCTGGAGGAGGAGGTAGCAGCGTTAGGTGGTGTCTCATGACTAGGTGAGATGAGTGGTCGGTGGGGTTGGGGCTGACTGAGTCTGCAGCTTATGTTGGCCTTGTACACTGTGTGACGCCCCCTGTACTGTCTGACGCCCTGGCGCCCGGGCAGGTCTGCGGACGGCGGCCGTGTACGCTGTGTATGACGCCCCTGTACGCATTGTAACGCCCCTGTACTGTGTGTCTGACGTCCCCGCACTGTGTTACACACCCCTGACGCCCCCGCCAGGTGCGGACAGCGGCCGTGTACGCTGTGTCTAACGTCCCATGTACTGTGCGTGACGTCCCTGTCCCGCTGCGTGTCGCCCTTAGGTGCGCACGGCGGCCGTGTACGCGCTGGGTACGTTCATGAACGCTGTGGCTGCTGCTCCTGTACTGTGTGTGTGCCGCCCCTGTCGCCCCTGTACGCTGTGTGACGCCCCTGACGCCCGGGCAGGTGCGGACGGCGGCCGTGTACGCGCTGGGTACGTTCATGAACGCGGTGGTGGAGCGCACCGAGCACGCCAATACTGTGGACCACTCGGTGATGATGGCGCTGCTCAAACACTCGGTCGGCGACGGCAGCCCCATGGTCCGCCGGGTAAGTCTGTCCGTCCGAGCAGCCCCATGGTCCGCCGGGTGAGTGCGTGGGAGCACTGAGCAGCCCCATGGTCCGCCGGGTGAGTGCGTGTGAGGCGAGTCCGTGTGAGCACCTCCGGTGAATTCGTCTGGACATCTGGTGAGCTGGTCTCCCAGGCTGGGCATTGCTGGGATGGACCGGCGCGGTGGCGTGCAGAAAACTTTTGCAGAGCTCATTGCGAAAGGATCTTGGTAGCTTTTTATGAATTATTTAGCCGGAGTGTTCGAATGGACGGATTGACACAGCCAGAGCCCGCGCTACGGACCAACCAACTGACCTTCCGCCCGGTCCTTGTCTGACCGTCTGCCTGTCCGGTCCAACGTCTGACCGTCCGTCCTCCCGGTCGGCCGCAGGAGCTGATATCGACGTTCAGCAGTTTCGTGCAGCAGTTCGAGAGCAAGTTCGTCTCCCTGGCCGTGCAGGAGGACGAGCAAGCGGCCGCCCTGCGAGAACAGGCGAGTCAGACGTGCTCTGGTCATCTTGAATCGCTGTTTTCATAAATCTTTTGCAGCATTTATCTTGCTTCATTTTTGGGCATTCCGCCGCATTTGTGTAGGTATATAGTAGCTATGGATGGTCGTGTGCTTTCCAGCTCCCCATCGGTATCCCTAGGCCAAAAATATACTCTTTGCTGCTCTATTTTGTTTCCGATAATCGCTGAAAGATGCTGTAGGTGTTCCAAAAAAAAAACGGTGATGTTCGCTGCTGAGCAAGCTCGTTATGTTGCTCCTCTCGTCCTAGTCGATAAGTCATCTGCATATCTGGGCTAATTTGTGATAAGCGACAAGCGTGCTAAGTGTTTAGTGATTTGCCATCTCTGCGGGTTGGGCCTGTCCTTGTCTGGCCTGCTTCGTGCGGAGACCTGCTCTGACGCGACCTGCCTAGAGCTCTGAGCTAACCTGCGCTGCCCGTTCTGACCCGCCCCGCTGGGAGACCCGCTCTGACCCTCCCTCGCTTTCTGTCGGCTGCCGACAGTCGTACCTAACGGTGATGGGCGCCAGCGCCTCCTCTCGTTCTGACCTGACCCCCGCTCTGTCGGCTGCCGGCAGTCGTACCTAACGGTGACGGGCGCCAGCGGCTCCTCTCGCTCGCCGCAGCCGTTCAAACGGGTCAACTCGGCCAGCTCCCTGAGCGGTATCAACTCGCCAAACTCCAAACAGCGCACCAGTCAGTCACGGGATACCCGGCGGAAGAGGGGGGGGGGGCAGGGACAGGGTGTAACTCACCAAACTCCAAACAGCGCACCAGTCAGTCGCGGGGATACCGTGGGAAGGGAGAGGGGCCGGGGTAGGGACAGGGGTGTACTACCAGCTCCCTGAGCGGGATCAACTCGCCAAACGCCAAACAGCGCACCAGTCAGTCACGGGGATACCGCGGGAGGGGGGGGGGGTCCAGTAAAGATAGGACTGCAGGGGTGTTATGATGAAACATGGATCGTTTTTTTATAGTATGGACAATATTATGTTATTTCTGACTTGTCCCAGAGTTTCAGATCTAGCAATGAAGAGGGCTGATTATGTACTCAATATGTGGGGCGTAATGCTCTGCCAGCTCTGTTTACATATGATGCCAGTGTAGCAGTTTGCCCGGATGGCTAAATCTCCGTCCTGCCTTCCAGCCAGAGCCGTCTGTCCGTCTATAGAGTACGGCTGAGGGGCGTATCGTACTGACGGCCTCTGTGTGCCCGCAGGCGTGTCGACGCACATGAGCCTGTCGTTCGGCAGCGTCTACTGGAAGGTGTGGCACGCGCTGCTGGAGCTCTCTGCCGACCCCGACTACCAGGTGGCCGACATGGTCCGCAAACTCACACAACAGATCATACTGAAGGTGAGTTAGAGGTCCGCAAACTCACACAACAGATCATACTGAAGGTGAGTGAGGTCCGCAAACTCACACAACAGATCATACTGAAGGTGAGTGAGGTCCGCAAACTCACACAACAGATCATACTGAAGGTGAGTGAGGTCCGCAAACTCACACAACAGATCATACTGAAGGTGAGTGAGGTCCGCAAACTCACACAACAGATCATACTGAAGGTGAGTGAGGTACGCAAACTTACACAACAGATCATACTGAAGGTGAGTTATAGGTCCGCAAAGTCACACAACAGATCATAATGAAGGTGAGTTATTGGTCCGCAAACTCGCACAAAAGGTCATACTGAAGGTGATTGATGGGGTCAAGGCCTTCATTTTTTCGAATGCAATTAAATAGACACTTTAGATTCCGTGCAATTTCTTAGACATTATTTTTGCAACTGGCCAGGATTTCTCGGTGATATTAGTTGCCCCAGTGCTATTGTAATTAACTTACTCCAGCTGGCAGCCAGTGCTCTCTGTAACAAATGCCGCTCTTTTACCGCTCACCCAGCTCCCTCACTGGCGCCCCACACACACTGTCTATATGTAATATCTGTGTATTGTGTGTGTCTGTGTCTGCAGGCGGGCAACCAGGGGAAGCTGAGCTCGTCCACACACGACGTGGGCGGGATCTCGCCGCAGCGCAGGTAAACACCCTGACTGCATCCACCGCCCGGTGTGGTCGGTCCTGCCCCGCCGCTGCGGAAGCCGCGCTGTGGTGTGTCTCCGTGCGCTGTGCGCATGCCTCTCAGATCGGTTTTCGTGTGTATTGGCTGTGTATTACCTACCACACCGTTACAAACTCCCATTTGCCTGTCAAATGTCCAAATATGCCCGTTGGCCCGCGTCCGCTGACCGATGACGTGTGTCCGTTTCAGTCCGTCTGAGCCGCGCTCCCCCGGGTGGTCGCCCTTACACCGCCCGGCGTCCCGGTCTTCTGCCGATACCGCCCGATCAGAGAACACCCGCAGGTCAGTCCGGTCACCAGGGGTCACAGGGGTCACTGTAGGTCACGGTGGGTGTCTGCCGATACCGCCCGATCAGAGAACACCCGCAGGTCAGTCACGGTCACAGAGGTCACCAAAGGTCAACGTAGGGCACAGAGATCACGATAGGTCACGGTGGGAGTCTGCCGATACGGCCCGCTCAGAGAACACCCGCAGGTCAGTCCGGTCTCACAGGGGTCAGCAAAGATCACAGGGTCCGCCACAGGTCGCAGGGATCACCAAAAGTCACGGTGGGAGTCTGCCGATACCGCCCGATCAGAGAACACCCGCAGGCCAGTCTGGCTACAGAGGTCACCGTGTAGGTCACAAGGATCACTGTAGGTCACAGAAGTCACTGAAGGTGACAGAGGTCACCGTAGGTCACATTGGGAGTCTGCCGATACCGTCCGCTCAGAGAACATCCGCAGGTCAGTCACGGTCACCAGGGGTCAGCAGAGGTCACTGTAGGTCACGGTGGGAGTCTGCCGATACCGCCCGCTCAGAGAACACCCGCAGGTCAGTCCGGTCACCAGGGGTCAGCAAAGGTCACAGAGGTCACTGTAGGTCACATTGGGAGTTCGCCGATACCGCCCGATCAGAGAACACCCGCAGGTCAGTCACGGTCACACAGGGGTCATCAGGGGTCACAGAGGTGACTGTAGGTCACAGTGGGAGTCTGCCGATACCGCCCGATCAGAGAACACCCGCAGGTCAGTCACGGTCACCAGGGGCCACAGTAGGTCACAGAGGTCACCGTAGGTCATAGAGGTCACCGCACGCCACTCTGAGAGCACATTAAGAGGCAGGTGGGGACTACAGCCTGCTAACAATGTAGATAAGAAGGTTCCTCACTGCCCCCCCCCCCCCCCCCGCCGGCCCGGTGTGTGAAGTGCCTACTTTCTGACCGCGGTGTGACCCTCCCCCTCCCCCCCCCGTCCTCTGCCACAGGGAGATTCCTCTGAAGACGCGCTTTATCGAGTGGATGGACCGGTTCTACGCGCGGCCACTGAATCTGTTCACCGAGTACAACGACTCGGCAGAGGACGACGACGAGACCTACAACAAGGAGTGCAGGTAGTGGAACAGGCCGCGACTGTGGGGGGGGGGGGGGACGGGCACGGCTCTGGAGTCTGGGGGTGGCGGGTGGCGGGAGCGGCTGTGGGGACGGGGCGACTCCGTGGGGGCTGGGCGACTCGGCAGAGGACGACGACGAGACGTACATACAACAAGGAGTGCAGGTAGTGGAACTGGGCGACTGTGGGGGCGGGGCGGCTATGGGGGCTGGGCGACTCGGCAGAGGACGACGACGAGACCTACAACAAGGAGTGCAGGTAATGGACGGGCGCGGGTCCGTGGGGATGGGAGCGGCACCTTTTGCACGGGGCGTCTGTCGGGGACGGGTGGGCAACACCGCGGAGCCGTCAGCAGGAACTCAGATAAGGTACTGTATCCTGTTGGCGGCTAAACCACTGTCACCGGAGGTTCTTAGCCGACTCGGGATATCCCAAATTGTGTGCGTAGGCCTCTTTTTTCCTTCCGTTCCCAATAACTTGCCCTTCGCCACTCGGCTCTCCTGGCCCTCTATCTTCTGGGCCCCTGTCCCTCTGCCTCTCTCCCTTGTTCCTCGGCCGCTCCCCGCTGACCTCCCCCTCCGCCGCCGTTCGCCAGGTTCGTGGAGAACGCGCGCGTGCGCGCCGAGGGTGAGCGTGACTGCGGGCGGCTGCACCAGGACAAGCTGGACACGCAGCTGTCGGTGCTGAAGCACGGCGTGCCGCCGGCGCTGATGAAGTTCAGCCCGTACACCACGCAGCTGGTGGTGGCCGATAAAAACCGATTCTGGTGAGCGAGCGGCGCACAGAACAGCGCGGCGGGATGGTTTATAATGTAGCTACATAGCGAATGTTAATGACATGATTTTTATCATCGGTGTATTTTCCAGCTTATAGAAACTGTGGAATCACATTGGTTTCTACGTCTCTATGTATGCTGCCTGTCTTAGTTCTTTTTCTGATATCTGTGGCAGCCTGACTGGTAACTGAGTTGTATGTGTCCCCGTTTGCAGTGTGGTGGACTACACCAAGGGCCAGTCGATAACGCAGCATGTCAACCACCTACCGTCGCGGTGCAGTCAGACGCGCATCTCCGGCCTCGAGTTCATCAACCCGCACTACCAGACGCTGCTACTGGTCGCGGCCGATGACGGCTCCGTGAGGTACGTGACCTGACCTGACTGGACCTCACCTGACCTGACTGACCTGGCCTGACCTGACTGAGCTGACCTCATTGACCCGACCTGACCCTGACCTAGCCTAACCTGATCTTACTTGATGTCGCTTTATTCAGCCTGACTTGGGTCAAATTAGGTCAGTGTGACACGGCCCGACATTTGTTTACCTAAGTGTCTGCCCAGATCTGCCCCGCGGTGCTCTCACCTCTCCCTCTCTCTGCCGTCTCTCTGTGTTAGGGTGTGGTCCGACTATGCCGAGCCGGGCCTGCGCACTCCGCACTGCGTCACCTCGTGGTCGGTGCTGGACTCTGGCATCAAGCCGAGCAGCGCTGGCTCGAGCCGCTCCCAGTCGCTGGTCGTCACCTGGGTACAGAGCAGCGGCCGGCTGGTGGCCGGCGAGCACAAGCAGCTGCACGTCTGGGACCTGCAGAGCGAGCGGCGGCTGGCAGAGCTGGCCGTCGGCACCGACTCCACCGTCACCACACTGGCCTCCAACGATAATGGTGGGTAGTCTGGCCTCCAACGATAGCGGTGGGTACATACACCGACTCCACCGTCACCACGCTGGCCTCCAACGATAACGGTGGGTAGACAGGGCTCCAACGACAACGGTGGGTACATAGTACAGACAGATTCCAGGGATAACTGTGGGTACATACACCGACTCCACCGTCACCACACTGGCCTCCAACGACAATGGTGGGTATAGCAGACTGGCCTCCTCCGATAACGGTGGGTACAGACACAGACACAGACTCCAACGATAACGGTGGGTATAACAAACCGGCTTCCAACGACAACCGCGGTGGGTACAGAGTACAGACACAGACTGGCCTCCAACGATAGCGGTGGGTATAGACTCCAACGGCAACGGTGGGTGCAGATACATACTGGGCCCCAACGGCAACGATGGGTATAACAAACCGGCCTCCAACAACAAATGTGGGTACAAACACAGACTGGCCTCCAACGACAACCGTGGTGGGTACGTACACACTGGCCTCCAACGATAACGGTGGGTACATACAGGCACAGACTCCAATGATAGCGGTGGGTACAAACTGCAGACTCTCTCTATAACGATAACGGTGGGTACAGACTTCACTCCTCCGTCACCACGCTGGCCTCCAACTACAACGGTGAGCTCCGATGTGATGCGGGCAGAAGCCAGGGACATAGCGCTCCGAACGAACGGTGAATGGTAGTGGACGGTTCGTTATACATGCTTAATTGAGACATCTGATAAGCAAACTACGGCAACTGCTTTCAATGACTTTGATGGTGTATCTTTTGTCTCGATCAGCCACCGAGCCGACATTCTGTACTGCTGATGTACTGAAGTTCTACGAAGGGTGTCAGTTCAGTCCCTTGAATATCACAGGACCCTGTACCACGGGACATCGGTCTAGTTACTGCTCCACCCATGTCCCAGCATCATCGAATGACGTGTGTGCGCGTCTTCCTGTGTACGCCCCTCTCCCTGACTGTGACGGTTGTGTGCGCCTCCCCTCCGCCTACAGAGCCGCACCTGGCCGTGGCCGGCTGTACACTGCTGTACAGTGTGTACTGTGTAGTTCCCTGACCGCCGTGCCCCTCCGCCCGCAGAGCCGCACCTGGCCGTGGCCGGCTGTACACTACTGTACAGTGTGTAGTAATTCCCTGACCGCCGTGCCCCTCCGCCCGCAGAGCCGCACCTGGCCGTGGCCGGCTGTACACTGCTGTACAGTGTGTACTGTGTAGTTCCCTGACCGCCGTGCCCCTCCGCCCGCAGAGCCGCACCTGGCCGTGGCCGGCTGTACACTACTGTACAGTGTGTAGTAATTCCCTGACCGCCGTGCCCCTCCGCCCGCAAAGCCGCACCTGGCCGTGGCCGGCTGTACACTGCTGTACAGTGTGTACTGTGTAGTTCCCTGACCGCCGTGCCCCTCCGCCCGCAGAGCCGCACCTGGCCGTGGCCGGCTGCGCTAGCGGCGTGGTGGCGCTGTTCGACACGCGCCTCTCGGGCCAGGCGTCGCGCGTGGGTCTGTGGCGCGAGCACCAGTCGTTTGTGGTGACCTCCGAGCTGCGCACCGTCGGTGGGAACACGACCGCCGTCACCGGAGAGTGAGTCGCCGCACACACACAGCGCACACACACATACGCACACCGCACACGGGGATGTTTTTTTTGGGGGATGTTGAAATCAGCTGTGTGCAGTCTGACACCTCTTCTGATGTTTATGTCGTAGGCATCGGCTGAAATCCGGCATTTCATAAAATGTCTAGGCATTACGTGGAATGCCGGCAAAGACTGAAATCTTCGTAGAAGTACTCGCGTTACAGCGAATGCCTGAAAAATTTAGGCATTTCATGGAATGCCAGGCGGAGACCAGGCAGTCTCTGAAATATGGTCGAAATCAACTGAACACACTCGTTGCCTAGGCATTACATGGAATGCCCAAGTGACGACCGGCACTTTCTGTAACGATTACCGCAGATGTGCGCAGGGCTGCGGACTTGATGGATTTTCGGCGACTCCGACCCCGACTCCGCCTTTCAAAAACCAACTCCGACTCCGACTCCGGGCAGAACTTTTGAATCCGACCAACTTTAACTCCAGCTCCTTCCTTGCAGCTTTGCAAGATCTGCGGAGTCGATAGATTTTCGGTTTGTCCGGCTCCGGTTCCGAAAATCGACTCCGGCTCTGACTCCGGTCATAGCTGTCGACTCCGACCGACCCCGACTCCGACTGCGCAGCCCTGGATGTGCGAGTTCCCGCGCCTTTTGCTTATTCAAGTCCATCGGTGCAGGGACGGATCCAAGGGGTTGTCACATGGGTCATGCCCCCCTTGGGGCCTGGGGGCAGTATAGGCCGGCCAGGGGCACCACCGGCCTAACAGGGGCACCGCAGGCCTAGCAGGGACACCACGGGCCTGTCAGGGGCACCACAGGCTTGTTAGGGGCACCACGGGCCTGTCAGGAGCACCATCGGCCTAGCAAGAGCACCACAAGTCTGCCAGGGGCACCACAGACCTGCCAGGGGCACCAGAGGCCTGCCAGGGGCACCACCGGTCTCGCAGGGGCACCACCGGCCTCGCAGGGGCACCACCGGCCTCGCAGGGGCACCTTGGGCCTGTCAGGAGCACCACGTGCCTGTCTAGGGCTTTTCAGGCTGATCAGGGGCACCGCAGTCCTGTCCGGGCCCAGGGGCACCAGCGGCCTAGCAGGGACACCACAGGCCCGCCAGGGGCACCACAGGCCTGTCAGGGGCACCACAGGCCTAGCAAGGGCACCACGATCCTGTCAGGGGCACCATGAGCCTGTCAGGGGCACCGCAGTCCTTCCAGGGGCGCCATAGGTCTGTCAGAGGCACCAGAGGCCTAGCAGGGGCACCACAGGCCTGCCAGGGGCACCTTGGACCTGTCAGGGGCACCACGTGCCTATCTGGGACACTTCAGGCTTGTCAGGGGCACCACAGTCCTGTCAGGGCCCAGGGGCACCACAGGTCTGCCAGGGACACTACCGGCCTCGCAGGGGCGCCATGGGCCTGTCAGGGGCACCACGGACCTGTCGTTGGCACTTCAGGCTTGTCACGGACACCACAGTCCTTCCAGGGGCACCACAAACCTGTCAGGGGCACCTGCGGCCTAGCAGGGGCACCACGTGCCCGCCAGGGGCAGCACAGGCCTGCCAGGGCCCAGGGGCAGACACTGACCAAAAAAAAAACTTATATAGGGCACCACCAAAATTAAGTGGCCGAAATCCGTTGAGTTTTAGTTTTGGGTATAGGTATAGGACACCAGTTTCATTCATGACCCTTCCCTTGAAGTTTTCCTAGATCCGCCCTTGCATCGGTGGAACGGGATTGATGGTGTGTGATATTGAATATTGAACTCCGTGGCGAGATGCCGGGTTCAAATCCCGTCCGGGCAAGTTTATTTCTACTAATTCAAACAATCTAACCTAACCTAGCCTACCATATAACCTAAAGCCTGTTTTCGCCTACGTAACGTATTAAACCTAACCTAACGTGTTATGTGAAAAGAAGATAAGTTGGGCTAGATTAGGGTTGGGTTGGGTTAGGAGGTGTTTGTTAGGTTTGGTACCTAGCCAGCACCAAACAGCTCGCACATCTGCGGTAACCGTTCCAGAAAGTGCCGGTCGTCACTTGGGCATTTCATGTAATGCCTAGGCAATGATTGTACTCGGCTTATTTCGATCATATTTCAGCGACTGCCGGGCCTCCGCCTGGCACTCCATGACATGCCTAAAATTTTCAGGCATTCGCCGTAACGCGCGTATTTCTACGAAAATTTCATTCTTTGCCGGCATTCCACGTAATGCCTAGGCATTTCATGAATGCCGGATTTCACCCGATGCCTACATTTACATGCTGTTAAGACGGTGATATATGTTATAAGTTTAGCTGTTGAAAGCAGAGGCACAGTGCATAGCATAAGGATGGAATAAAGTTATGAACTACGACAGGTACATGTGATCATGCACTAGAAATCATGTTCAAATGGTATTCTTTTAAAGCTACAAAAGCAGTGGATTCTCATTTCTCATTAACAGTAACATAGCAGAATCTTCACCTCCACCCCCTGTCTCCCCGTAACGCCTTCCCCGTTCATCGCCTGCGTCCCCCGGTCACCATCCGCGACTCACCAACATCGCTCCATTGTTTTCGGCAGCCAAAAGGGCGAGGTGCGGCTGTGGGACGCCCGCCGTCCGACGTCGGTCCGCTCCTTCGCCACCCTGTCGGACGACGTGATGACGATGGCCGTCCACCCCACCGCCGACCTGCTGGCCTGGTGGGTGCCCGAACGGGATGACACGGGGCTGTCACTGGCCTGGTGGGTGCGCGCGCAACGTGGGGATGGATTGGAACCGGGCTAACACGGGGCTGACACGGGCTGGCCCGGCGAGTTCGGCCCACTGTCACTTGAGGCTCCGTATGTTGACTGTTCGCTATCGTGGTGTATGTATGTACCTTGGTCTTCTTTTTTTCACCCTCAAAGTCTGTCTCGGTGTGTACCTGGGTAACGGACGTGCGTTATTATGTAACTGACATGTGTGTTCTGCCTGGTGTGGTGGCCACGTCGGTCTTACATGCTTGCCATCTCCTCTCCACGTCTATGTGATGCGTTCAGCGACAGTTCACTGTCCCGTCCCACCGCTGTTCTGTTTCACTTGCCGTCCGCCGCCAGAATCTGACGCGCCGCTCCCTCTGTTCCCGATACAGTGGCTCGGCGCACCAGCACATATCGCTGTTCACGCTCACAGGAGAGGCGCTCAACTCGATCCGCTATCACGACGGCTTCATGGGTCACCGCATCGGTAGGTAACGGAGCGGACGACGGGAGGGGAGGGGAAGGGGGAGTCACCGCATCGATCAGTAGCGGGAGGGACACCGCATCGGGTAATGACGGAACGGCCGAATGGAAGAGAGGGAGGGAAGGGGGCTGGTCTGACGAGCTTCGCGTACATATTACGGAGAGTAGCTGGTTGGAAATGCTTCAGCGTTTTTCGGGGGCTAAGGTTGCTAGGGCTGCTAGGGCTGCTCTGCTTTCATTATCGGTCATTACTTTCGGCTGGGTGTGCTAGTCTGATCTGACTGATGTGATCTGAACTGATCTTTTGCAAGGCCTGCGCACTGTCGTACCTGGGTGACAGTGTGCTCTGATCTGATCTGACTGCTCTGATCTGATCCCTCCCGTCAGGTCCAGGGTCGCACCCGCCAATATGTCCTCTGATGTGAGCTGACTCCTCTAGCCGCATGGCTAGTAGCGCAGTGCGCACCCGGGTGTGCTCTGATCTGACTGACATTATTTCTCCCCGGCAGGCCCAGTGTCGTACCTGGCGTTCCACCCGGTGCGCGTGGCGCTGGCCGCCGGCAGCAGCGACTCGCTCGTCTCCGTGTACGGTCTGTCGCGCAGCTGATTGGCGCGGACCGGGTCCTCGCGCAGCCGCCGGCGCCGCTGAGCGCGCTGCGCAGGGACCTCGGTCCGCCCACACACGGACAGACGCGGCACGGCGCCGGGGCGGCCGTCCGCGGCGCGAGCGACCGCCCGTCGGACCGCAGCCTCTGCGCCCCAGCAGCGGCAGCGGGGGTCTTAGTTTTGCTATGGTTTTTTGTCGGCTTGTCGGTGCCAACTGCGGCGCGCCGTGGCGATCTCCGCGTGAGTCGGCCGCCGGGACGGCTCAGCAGTGGCGCGGCGCGGCGGCGCGGTGCCGGTGTTAACTCTACGGACGGGTGACGTCGCCCCGCGGCCATACGTGAGCTTATTGTGTCTGTGTGTTTGTGTACAGTGTATCTACGGACGAGTGAGCGGCGCGGACGCCGGCGGCCCGGCCCGGCCGTCCCCAGTGCCTTGGCGCGGCGCTGCCGACGGCTCACGCAGTGTCTTATAGCCGGGGAGGCGGCGGCCGGCGCCGGAGCCGGGGTGGCCTGTGAGGCGGCGCGCGGACTGGTTTTGAGACACGTGTACGCACTGAGTGGCGGCGGTCGGCGCGGGACCGTCGGCCTGCTGCCGGCAGAGGGCAGGGCGAGCGGTGGTTTTATCATGTCGTGTCACCAGCGGCGACCCTGATTTGCAATATGTGTGTCTGTCTGTCCGTGTCCGTCGTCACCCGGGACACTGCCGAGGTGGTCGGGTCATTACTCGCCCGTGCTCTGTGACCCGCAGGGACCGGCACTCCGTCAGTCCCTCACTGTGGTGTCCAACTTCTATTCCAACTGGATTCTGTCGTAGCATGTCCTTGTAGCTGGTCGCGTTTCAGGCGGATCTCTGTCGGTATATTCGGCCCTTGTCACGCTGTTCGGCTTTGGCCCCGCGCCTCGTCCCTGGTCGGCTGACCCGCCACGGTGACCAGCGACTGCCGGCGCTAACGGCGTCTCGCTGGTGACCTGTGCCCGGCTGGTGACACCCGGTGACCTGTGCTCGGCTGGTGACACCCGGTGACCTGTGCCCGGCTGGTGACACCGGGTGACCTGTGCCCGGGCTGGTGACACCCGGTGACCCGTGCCCGGCTGGTGACACCCGGTGACCTGTGCTCGGCTGGTGACACCGGGTAGTCTGTGTCCGGGCTGGTGACACGCGGTCCGAGCGACCGGCGGGTCGCCGTGGGACGGACGTAGACTGTGCGCGCGCTGTGCCATGGATGTAACGCCAGTCACCTCTGTCGCACCTGCAGCTCTGCGCGCGCCCCGCGCCGCGTCCCGGGCCAGTGTCTAGTGGGGTGTATTGGTGCACGCAGGCAGCGGCCGGTTTGGGTTTGACCGTGCTCGGTAAAGTATTGCTGCTGGTGGGGGGGGGGGGGAGGGGCAGCTGTGTATAACCGTTATATCTCGCACGGGTGCGTGGTTTGTATGATTTCTGCCGAGTGTGGACGACAGGGGCGTACTCTGGTAGTTGGTGCAGCAATCGGGCGGCCAGCTGTGTAATGTCGTGCACGGAGAGAGGACACTCATACCTATTGGGGATCGGGTACTTGGGCTGGAGCGGCAATGTATGTAGTATGCCCGCCCGCGTATTTAAACGCCAGTGTGCGCTCGAATGCTTGATCACGATCATGATTGGTAATAAATGAATACATGATTTTTATTTCTTTTGCGTGAACCACCTTTTTTATTGCGGTGCGGCTGCTTGAGCTCTCTGAAATGAGTACCTAAGTGTGTGAGAGTGTGAGCGCTTGTATATAACGGGAGGTAAGGGTGGAAGGCATTCGTGAACGAAGGCACGGATTCGTCGCCCGAATACGGCGCGCTCCTCCCTGCTGAAGCGTGTCTTACTAAAACCGTCGAGGCACGCTGACCCAGTAGCGTATCCATCCTCAAACTTCCATAGTCCGGACCCAGAGACGGCCGAGAGTTGAGACGGACGCCTCATCCGCTAGCCTATCTGGATGACATTGAGTTGCGCTACGGCACTGACCATACTCATTTGTTGTGCTAATTCGTTGCTCGTAGGACAGAGTACTCGTAAGTCGCTCATAGAACAAACGGACGTTCATCGGATAGCTCATAGTCCAAGCGGACTTTGAAAACACTTTTGAATACGCCTATGAATGTCATGAATGAATGAATAATGATACGACTATGAATGAATAAGGTGACGCTTTTGGCTATAGCTCAACACAATCCGTTCCTCCAATCTAGGTATGTATGCAAAAGATACAGCGCAAGATCCAGCGTATGATATGAGCGCGGTATTGCGTAGAACAGGACAGCTTTAAAAGTTGCAGCAAATTAGTATAGTGTTTTGTTTTGTCACTTCTGCGCCAAAAAAGGATGTAAATAAAACAACATGCTTGCTGAAGGTCACGTGCGTTGTTGAAGTGTTTTGATTTTGAATTGTTATAGTTGAATTTTTAAGAAATATTGGACTATATTCAGATGAAGCCTGAAGGACAGTAATGAAAAATATGTCATTGAAATGATCCATCCGTTTGATGCAAACACTCTCTGAAGTTTGTGCATTATGACAATCTTAAAATCGGAAATCTGAAGAATACCAATTTACACTAGATTCGACTTAAACTTGAACTTTGACTTGGAAAATCCCTGAAGTTGAGAGATAACTTGGCCTAAGCTGAACCGACAACCAGAAGAACATATGACATAATTCTTGAGTTGTGAGATCTGCATCTGCTGGAGACTTCACACAGGTGGGTGCTGGATTTAAGCACATTGCATTTCTAGCATAGACCAAGGTAGGTAATAAATGAAATAGGTATGTACATACAAGGTGGCAGGTGGCATCATGAGAAATTACGCTCAGCTCAGCCGACATCGGGATGTCACTTGCGGGGGTTGAAAAGCATTTATGAAATAGTATGGGACAGAGGAATTATATTTTTTGTTAGTGCTCATGAACCCTATGAAAATATCTCCAATGTGTTTATTCAAGTGGTTTCCTCAGAAAAGGTGCACTATTCACAAGGTAACATCACCAAAACTGAACACATTACAGAGGGCTGTTCTGGTTCACGGGCCCCGTGTGCGGTGCCTCCAAGCTCCGCCCACTGCGTCCCTACGTCAGTCTTCCGTCACCGCACACAGCGACCGCTGTGGCCGGTCGGGACTGGCCACAGCGGATTGTCCACCGCATGCAGCTGTGACGTCAGAACCGCCTACCCATCCCCTACCCCCACGCCTGCTGCACACACCGCACACACCACACTCAGCAGTGTGCGGTGCCCGTGAACACCCCTCAGGTATGCTAGTAAGGTTGGACCTATCGTCGGCGAAGGTGGCCATCCACTGTGTGTGCCAAAGGAAGTGGTCCAGCACATACCACACTACTGTGCCACCGGAGCACACACACAGAAGGGCCACCGGAGGACGTGGGCTACAGTATGACGATGCCTGGACAAGACAAGAGGAGGTGCTCCTCCACCAGCTCCGCGCCGACCGATGTCCGCTGCTCCAGGCCACACTACACAGATGGCTGCGACCGGACACGGACGGCCTGTGCTCGGAGTGTGGAGCGAAGGAGAACACAGAGCACGTCATCTGTGACTGCCCGCGTTACCAGGCTGCGAGATCAAGGTACCTCGGCCACGTGCCGACGCTGGAGGTGCTGCAGGAGAGACCGGATGCTGTCGTCCGGTTCATGCGACGGACTGGTCTCCTGCAGCAGAGGGAGACCCGATGATTGGCCTGCCGCACATCGCTGGACAGCAGAAGAAGAAGAAGGTATGATAGTTCAAGTGAATACGGCCTGGCGCAGAGTGCAGACCAGGCACATGAAGGTTCTGAGTTCAGTCTGCGGCCTTATCTCAAACAGTCAAACTGTCATGTCTCTCATTGCGTCACAATATGATTATGTCACTTATCTTTTGTTTTGGCCGCCACAATTCCTAGATTTACTTCACTACCAATCCCAAAATCTACTCATGAATATACGAAGTTCAAACACTAGGGACCTAGTTAACAAAACATGTCCGTGTAAATCTAATAGACCGCCAGAAGGACTTTACCATGTCTCCATTTCTGTCATTTTTCACATATTCTTTTTGTTTTGTCTTAACACCACTTTATTCATGATGTATAATCAGACAACATAATGGTCTTTTGTAGAAAGGTGATGATAAGACACAACATGACTTAACTTTTCCCCTGTTTTTACCCTAAAAAATCGCTCTTGCATCTTGTTTTTAAGTCGATATTTTTTACGTGGATCAGTGCATCCTTGAACATGTCGGGTCGGGAGTCGGGGCAATCGAAACAAAGCCATCAGCCCCGATCGGAGCTCTTCTCGGGCTGATCGGAATTGCAGGTGAAAGACTGTATGACGAACAAACAGCATTTGCTCTCCTGGTGATAGTGCTAGATGAATGGTGACCCGTTGTATTATTGCCTGTCGTCCGCGTGCCGCTGAGCTCCCGTCTCTACGAACTCCAGGTGATCGACTGGAAAATTGGCACTGCCGCTACCAAACGCACAACTTCCTGCTGAGCTACCATGCAAACACTTTTATGGGACACTTTCTCTGAGGTATTGATGAGCACTCTCTACTGTTGTCACTATCAAGTATCTAGTTATTGTCAGCTAGTTACGTGAAGCCGGGCACGAAACCGACCGGCTCGCGTTAATCCTGGGCCCTTCTCTCGGCCAGGACTGCACCCCAACCGGGGCTCGGTAAAAGAAGCTGCTTCGCGTTGGCCGTCTGTCTTCGCTGCTAAAGGGTTAAAAAGGCAACATTGTTAAAGGTAGTGTGCCAGCTTTCTTGGACCGTATGGAGTTAATGGCCCAGATAAGGAGAACCGGATTTTTAGAACTTATCCATACCTTCAAAACTCATGGAAACGTCTTAAATTCTTCAAATTTTGAGTACCCCAGTGCGAAATTCGCCCCGACGGGTTGTCGGTCGTACCCCAACCACATTTCACACCACTATGAACAATAAATGCACACACTGAAATCGCTATTACCGATATGCTCATCCAATCAAGTTTCGATAAACCCGTTCATCATCATCTCCTGCGGTTTCGAACACGCCTGTTAGGTGGCTTCTGATGCTCGTCGAGGTCGGAATTTCCAAATACGCGTGGTGCGTCGGGCCGCGCGCTCTGACTTCGGCCAAGAAAAATGCGTCAGCTGATCATTGTCATTTCTGCCACTTGCGTGTGGTGAAATGGGGTCATAACTTATAAGACGGCTTTTTCATATCAATTATTTTACATAAAATTATATTTCAAACCATAAATAATGTTCGACAGACAAATAAAAGAAACAATACCAATACGGGCTTACAGTTTAAGGCTCGACATTGTGTTGTCTACGATTAGACAGCTGATAACTCATTCCCGTACGTCGTATGGTCGTAACACTATAATGACCTTTGCTTATTGTCACAAGTGCGCCGCATTCGCGATTGTTGCCCGACGCCTGTTTGCAGGTGAGCCCACTACAGTTGTTACGGAGCGAGCGAAGCGAGCGTAGTCTTTCCTTAGATTAACGGAAATTTCTGAGTATGAGCGGCCGGCCGGCCGGCCGGCCGTGCGGACGCTTTTGCGAGGCTTATATCTCAGCAACCACTTGACCGATTTACACGCGGTAATTTTTGTAGGGTAGCTTCATTCCTTCTACCAAGTATTGGACTATTCCCGATGCATGTGGGTGACCCCTTATGCACGTGCCACGTGCAAAACGAAGAGGTGTCAGTTTTGTAATTGTTGCAATATCTCGGTAACTACTTGGCCGATTGCGCTGAAAGTTGGCATGTAGGTAGGCACCCACTAGGCACTGCATATACATGTGCCAGAGTTGGGGTGCTGCTGCACGTGCGCACGTGCAGGGGTCGTTTCCAGATCTCGGGAACGGCTGGACCGATTGCGCTCAAATTTGGTACACGGTTAGGGACCGGTTAGTAGGGTGCCGTGCACAAGTCATTTGGGACCCATTTTGCACGTGCGCACGTGCAGGGTGCCGCTTCCAGATCTCGAGAACGGCTGGGCCGATTGTGCCCAAATTTGGCACATCGCTAGAGACCAGTTAGTAGGGTGCCGTGCACAAGTCAGTTGGAGGTACCCCCTCGCAATTTCGCACGTGCAAGGCCCACCCTCTCGCTCGCTCCGTTAGTCGTCCCAAAAGGCGTTATACTGGTTATACATATCTAAAAACCGAAAAACTTTTAGGCGAAAAAGGCACTATTCCAGGCCCATTTTTGATTTTTTTGCGATATTAGGTAAAAACAGAAGCTTCTTATCCTAGGAAAAATAAAATGGGAAATCTTTCAAAGGTGGCACACTACCTTTAAGATAAGTTAATGGTTCGTTGTGAGGTTCCTTCACTGTCCTGAAATAAGTTCCAGGCCAAAATACAGGAGACAGCAACCAGGCTAGGTGGAACCAGTATTTGTGGAATAACCTGCGCATATTCCTCATTGGTGAGGCAACTCTGCCTCTCGCCTATCGGCCCGACCGGCCTTATTGGCCGATCCCGGTATTCGGTGCTCCCCGCCCGGTGCTCCCTGCCCGGCGCTCCTCTCCCCTCCCGGTGATCCCTCCCTGTTACTGCGTGTGGCCGCGCAGGCCGGCCCTGCAGCCGCGGTGCTCCCTGTCCGATGCTCCCCTCCCTGCCCGGTGCTGCGTGTGGCCGCGCGGGCTGCTCCTGCAGCCGCGGCGCTGCTAATAGCGCCGCCGGCGGCTTATCTCAGCGATCAGCCTCCATGGAATTCGGCGGCGGTGGCCGCGCCGGGCTAACCCTCTTGGACGGACGCCAGCTGACTAGCGCTGACCTTCTGGGACAGGGTCGGCCGCAGCTCCGAGCCCCCTCCGAGCTCGCTGATTTATGTATAAAAACACTGCCGCGTTCGCAGAAAATCGACGTGTGCTATGGGTCGATGTGTCATCCTGCAGGTTTGTTGTGACTGCTGCAGTGGAGACGGGCTCATAGTCGGGCAGTCAGATTTGTGGCTCAGCGAAGCGCGGCCGTTTCGGGAGAAGCTGTTGAACTGCTGTCGGCTGAGTCCAAACACTGCGCGGTGTTCGGTCGGCCCGCGGTGGCCACGTAACCATGGCGACCGGCCCCGGGGAAGCGGCGGCGGCGGCCGGGGAGGGAGTGGTTCCCGGTACCGGCCGGTGGGCCGCCGTCTCCGGCTACGGGGACCGGCCGGTGCTCGGTGCGATCATCCTCAGCGGACCGACGAACCGCCGTTTTCAGGACGGTGTGGGTGGGCTGAATATCACCGGCGTTACCGGCAGCTCGGCCTTAGAACTCCTACCGTACTCTGTGCGGTAGGGTGGGGTCAATTGTGGGCGCTGAGTGGCTGCTGTACCGCTGGTCTGATCTGATCCCTGGTTCTGGGCAGAACTGAGTCGACCCAGATCGCTCAGAGTCGAGCTGTGACTCGGGAGCTTCCGTGTATAATGACTTGTATAACCATTATTTCAGCAGCTCCCGTCTCCGAGTTTTCCGAACCCGGGGCCGCCACGGCTGTATGTGATTTAGCCGATACGGCTCGGAGCCACGTCACCGGCCCGATTTGTGGTTTCCCGTGTTCGTCGGAGATGGTGTTTGGCTCGGCGCGGCCGGGGTTCCGCGGAATCGGCCGCCCACCGTCCTTTGTCGGCCCCGTCTGTGTCGACTACTGGGGACCCGTCGGCGGAGGGGGGGGGGGGGTCAGCGGCGGTGGGACGGCCAGAGCACGACGGTAGGTCAC